ACATCCCCATACCATCACTGATCCCTTACCAAATTTAAATGTTGGTAAAACAAATCTATCCATATACCTTTCACCCTTCTTTCTAATAACTCTCACACCACCGTCGTTGTGCCTGAGTGCGAATCGCGACTCATCGGACCAGATTACCTTCTTCCAGTCATCTAATGTCCAATTCATCTTGTCGTCGACCCATTCTCTTCGCGTTTTTTTATGTCTAAGACTCAAAAACGGTTTTTTGGAAGGTCTGCAAGAATAAAAACCGTTTTTGCGAAGTGCATTCCTCAATGTCGTCAGGCTGATTGGATCGGTAGCCTTCGCAAGATTTTGCATATGAACACTTAAAGGTTCAAAGGAGTCCCTTCGAACTAAAAGCGTCAGGTGATGCTCAGCTCTTGCTGTCAGCTTTGCTGGTCTTCCTGGACGAGGTTGGACAGTCGTGATCCCTTCAGTTCGATACTTTTTTATAATCGTAACAACGGTTGTTCTAGGAACGCCCAATTCTTTGCTGATTTGGGTACCTGTCCATTTGGCATGCTCTGCCAAACCGCAAATGACTCCACGATCGAAATCTGAAAGTTCCTTGCTTTTTCTAGAGACTTTGTTAGTAATGTCAGTAAGTGGCATGATAAATTGTGTAATAAAATATGAAAGAATCGTTGAACGAAGAAAGAGTAGGTTTATTTATTTTTTTGGCTCAAAACGGAAGTGTCGAATATTTTATGTGCGGAGTTGTAGTAAGAGCATGGGCTTAAAATCTGTTTTTCGGCTATTGTATTAAGGTTCAATGCCGGAGAAGCAATAAATAAAGGACGTACCTCTCGTTGAACCTCAGCAAACAAGCACAAGATTGCATTCATGTTTGGTTACATTTTTTTTTTTTTATCTTGTACAGGGATTTATACCAGATTTATTTCTTCTCTCTAGCAAAGATATTTGGCAATGTAATATTTAGAAATAAAACCAGTGCTATTTTAATCCAAAAGAAGTTCTAAAAAATAAAAAAAATCTTTGGTGGGTATCTATAACGACCCCGTGTGACCCACTCGGCAGCAACACCGAGTACACGAAACCGCTCTTTTAACTATGCGTTGCACCTAACTTTTGACAAACGTTTCGACCTTTGAACAGTCTAATTATGGACTTGTGTCAATAATGTATACGGAGAAACACAAAAAAATAAAATGAGATAAAAAACAGTAAAAATAAGATTAATAGTCCTCGATGAAATAGGGGTGCTGAGACTTATTTGAAGTGCTGGTAAAATTATTGATTAGTTTGTAATCACTCAATTAAAGCCTATATCTATGACTACTGATAAAACGGGATACTTTTTCTGGGATATCTGGTTAGCCTGCGTTACACATGTATAACTCAGGATATCTAATACTGTCATTTTTTTTCTTTAACAATTGCTGTTATATTATGTACGAGATTAATGAAATGATTTTATCTGCGATTTGATATGGTAAATAGTACAATGCAAATAAAAAATGAGCTATGTGAATTCTTGATTTATTTTCATAATTAAAAATAAATATCATGGCAAAATTTTAAAACGATGATATAAATAAAAAACTTTATTCAAAAAAAAAAAAAGAACAAAAAAAAAAGAACAAAAAAAGGACCATGCCGACAGCATATCCCGCAGGTTCCGAACCTGCAACTCAACAACCACCAGTGTACCATCCAATACAGCAAGATGATGTATCATAAGCTATTGGAGGCTTGGGGAGGAGTCGGTGGTCGTGGTGGTCGTGGTGGTCGTGGTGGTCTCGGCGGTTTCGGTGGTGACCGTGGTGGTGGTCGTGCCCTCCGTGGTGGTGGTGGTGATGGTGGTCGTGGTCTCCGTGGTGATGATGGTAGTGGTGGTGGTACCTCCCGTGGTGGTGGTGGTGATGGTGTGGGTGGGTGGTGGTGGAGTCTGGGAATAAGTCACAGGCTTTCCGTCTTTAAATGTGGCAAAGACGGAAACCGGGTCACCGCGGTCTGTTTCGTGACAAGGAGCGTTGAAACTCACAGACGCGGCGGTAGGGTTTCTGAAATGGACATACGCCCATCTAAAGTAATGAATTTTTAGAAATAATCATTAAAAAAGAAAGCTGTTTAAACTTACTTGTTCCCGGTTGCCTTGCAGACATGGGTGACCTTTGGCCATTTTTGAAGGAGCTCCTTCACAGCCGCTGCGTCGACATATAGAAAGGCATCGCTTTGGACACCAATCTGACTTTCAGGATTTTTGCAGGAAGAGCACTTGCGTGGGTTTGACATTTTCTTATTTCTTTTAATAGATAATTGAGAAAGATTAAACTACCAATCAGTTTTTTTTTTTTTTTAAATTGTTCCAAAATAAACTCCGTGTTTTTTCTCTTGTCGTGTACCCATGATAATAGATGGATTCAAGTGGCTAATAGAATTGGTTACGACACTGAAATAAAAACGTAAAATATGATTGCCCTCACCCTGAAACTTTTTACCAATCTAATCGTGTTTTGGACAGATACCGTTGGACCTTTTTAAAAATTGCAACGCGACCGATTTTTCAAAAATGTAAATTACTGCAAAATCGAGTTTTGTTGTTTAATAAACAGATACTGCGATACTTAAATAACTTGTTTAATTGTTAAGTTAATACGGTGAACGTAACAAGGGGTCAAAAAGTATATCTTGTTCATGAGGCTTTTGGTGTTACACGACTAGTTTTTTAACTTTTCTTTTCTTCTGAAATCACCATGCTTCTCGAATTTTTTTTTTTTTTTTTTTTTTTTTTTTTAGTTCCTTCTTGTAAAAAAAAACATGTTATAGAAGAAAAAAAGAATAGACAAAGGGTTATTGATAGTACCCATCAAATGCACTTTGTGTCTCTATGTATGTGCTGTTCCTGTTCGAAACAAAACTTTAGTCTCCATTGAGTTTCAAAAGACCATTACTTATGACCAATTTTACGCGCGCCATACTTTTTGACAAGACTCAAACTACTGGTCACGAGGGTTATATAAAGGCCCCCCCCCCCGGCTTTTTTCCTTTTTCTTTACTTTTCGCTTTTTTTTCTCCTTTTTTTTATGCTTCCATTGGTCTTATCGTCTTTCACGGCGTTTCCCAACTGTCTTCATTGACATTTTATACCTGCATTTTGCAATTCCCAACTGTCTCCAAAGACATTTTATAATGTCTTCATCGGCACTTCCCAACTGTCTTCATTGGCATTTTATACTTGTCTTTGGCAATTCTCAACTGTTTTTATCGACATTTTTAGATGTGTATTGCCAATCACCTCCTCGTGGTCACATCTGTCAACCATACTAGTTTTGTATGGGCTAAGAATTGGCACTTAGATTTTTTACTTCATCCTATTAAATTTTTTTTTAAAATAAAACTTTCATAATGATCTTGGAGCACAACCTTTGTTGTGCTTGTCATGTTTTCTTATCTAAACTACATGGCTATTTAGCAAACGTTTTTTTTTTTTTTTTTTTTTTTTTTGGCACATACTGACAATAGACATTGGGACGGGTTTGTTGACATGATAAAAAAAAAGTTATTTATCACATCATATTAGGGATGGATAGCAATATAAAAGTTTATCATAAATTACACATTACCTCGCTTGTTCTCGTCATACAGCTGAAGTCTGTCCACAGGGCAACCCTGTCACCAAGGCTATATTTTCTCGCCTGATCCGTTCATTTCGACGGATTTAAAATAAGTGTTTACCCATTTATTCAAAAAAAAAAAAAACGGTGGTGAATATTTTAAAATTAGCTTTCCCCTTTTGGCCTTCAATCAAATAAAAAACTTTCATTTATACACATTAAATCATTTAATACGCACATTCGTTAGAAAAAATTGGTTTGCAGTTTTTAAAGTTGTTTATTTATTTGATTAAAAGGAAGGAAAGTAAGATTTATTTATATCTTGATACTTGAAAATAGATTGATACGTAGATATAAAGACTAAAACGTAAATGATCCAGATAGTAAAGGATGTACGGCACTGCAAGCATGCGTTGATTACTTTGTATATGAAGCAGTACATTTCTTTTTTTAAAAAAAAGAAAGGGGGCATTGGGATTAGTTGTTGAGGATTTGTTTTCTTTCAAGAATGTCTATGATATTTACGTACACCTGTCCCAAATCAAGATCCAAAAGTCCAAAACAAAACACGCGTTGTCAAATATAACGTCACTCTACCATCATTTCTGTTTTGAGGAACTTCGTCTTCTTAACAACGGTGATAGTTTGAGGGTTAAAGAACGGTTTACTCGGAAAATGTGTCAATGAAGAGCAACTTCAAAGCCACAAGTCACGAGGTGAGCGTGCTTTTTAGGTGTAAATATAAGCTTGGGTGTTTCCGGTCTTTTGGCCATTGAAGTTATTAACGCTCGTACCTATGCTCGGGATGAACGTTATTTTTTAGAACAGCTACATGCCCTCATGAATCATTCCATCGCCAAATCTTTAAAAAAAAATCCATCTATTGCTCACATCTTTTTGGATATTTGTAGTCGCTATCAAAAACTAGAAGAGCTGCGAAATGAAATCAATGCGTCCAAGGAAATCTGTGCTGGGACTTGTAACTTTTTTTTTTTACAAAACAATGTGGTAAAACACATAATATAAATAGCTGCATAAACTACATATACTAACGGCTACAGCCAATATTAAACATACATAATTGCATAATAAAGCAAACAATACCATTTTAGACAAGGATATGACAGTGAAATATTCTTGAATTTTTCCACCTGCAAAGAACAAGAGGAGAGCGGGTGGCATATTTATACCAAACACTTGGAGTTGATTTATATCCCATATCTACATGAATGCTCTCGCTTATTGATTTGAATTATTTTTATTTTGCTAGTCTGATAAGCACCTCTTGTTCTTTCATCTATTGCTCAAAATTCTCAACCACCAGCTACTCTGCCCCCCCCTATGAACTTTTTGACATTTACAAGTTCAACTTTAAGACTTGTCATTACTTACTCTTAGAAACAATAACAGTTAGACTGCTTGTCCGAGATCTTTTCTGCTAGCTATCCAAATGCATAAAACAGATGTTATTTAATAACGACTATTTATATTAAATGGGAATTGAAAGGTAATACTTCAGTCTCTTGAACTTGCATTCAGAATTTGAAGTACACGAAGGAATAGGTTGATCATATCTAGATACAAACTAGTTGATGCCATGATATAGTCTTCAGGTGAGAAACGATTAAATATCAAGTAAGTGTCGAAAATGATATAGCCAGAGAAAACAACGACACCTCCAATTGCCAAGGGTAACTCAGTACCTTCAGAAAATGGAAGTACCAAACCAGCTACAAGAAGGATAAAGACACCAGCAAATAAACTTTTTTTTTAAAAAATTGAATTAGTTTCAGTGCATGTGATACATTAATTTTTTCTCCTTACATTGGGCCCATTCCGCTAAAATCCCATTTTGATTGGAAAGTAAATAGGGTCAGAACACAGAAAACCCCAAACGTAATAAGTAATGCCTGTACAACAATCCTTTGATCGTAAAAAGTCACTAAAAGAGTATCTTAGCAGACATGTATTACGATTCTTATCCGCATATACATATTACCAATTGTCCCGACCATGTGGCTTTCAAGAAGTGTGAATAAAGCCAAAAGATAATAGTTGAGAGGAGTAGAACGTGCTTTCCACATGAGAGAAAGCAGTACACAAATAGACCCAAACATTGATAAGAATAACATCCAAGGACTAGGATAAGTAGAGTGGTTTAATAATCTCGCTTTTTGCTTTAAGAATAAATTATATTGAGTCTTACTTGGTTTGAACCCAAATCTTGGTATTTTCACTAGTCATATAGACAGTTGACAAGATAGCTGTACCCAAAATTTGAGCACATAAGATACTGTAAACTTTTCTAACGAATTCTACGTGGCAAACTATACGTTAGGACTATGGACTTGTTCATTAGCAACCTGTACAAACGCATTCTGATTTCCACGCTGCTATTGGCAACAGTTTCTTTAATCATGTCATCGCCTATATTTTCTTCGTCTTCGTATGAGAAACGTCTACTGGAATCAGCCTCATAAGGAGGAGGGGCTAGTTCGTAGCCTTGGTTTCTTGGGGCGTTTTTAAACATTTACGGGTTTAAAGAGTTGCAGTTCCTCAATCCTTAAAAGTTACACAGCACAAGTTTCTGAAACGTGACTGGTATCGACCAAGTGACACAGCCAAAAATATGTTTTGCTTACATATTCTTCATTTTGTATTTCCAATAACATGCCAAAAGCTACTAGAAACAGATCAAAAAAGATCGAAACTCCCTTGCGTCAAAGAAAGTTTGCTGTTCCCGAAAAGCAAGTTCTTGAAAGAGTCGTAGTTAAGGAAGACCGAATTACTGTAATTGTTACTTCTAGCATTTTTTTAAGTGCACTTTTTTTAATACTAAAACACTTTTTAATATATAGACAGAACCTGCCCACGATTATGAAGCTGCAAAGAAGGATTTCAAAAAGAAGGCTCGTCATGAGGCCTGGCTCGAGAGTATGTTCATACTTTTTTTTCAATTAGCCTTGATCAATCTTTTAAACGTTATTTTTTATTTAGAACTTGATCATTCTTATGCACTGAAAAAAAATCAAAAGAAAAAGGAGAACAAGAAAAAGAATGGACTGAAAGTTGATCTGAGCGGATTCAATGAAATTTTGGGTTCGATCGAGATTAAGTCCAAGGCTGAGCTTGCAAGTCAAGCAACCCACGGCAAAAAACTTGAAGTCACCAAAGAAGCAGCCATACCCTCTAATAAGCTCAGATCAAAGAAAGCTAAAAAGCACGCAGAGTAAGTATTGAAGCTTCAAATGCATGTAACCCGTGGCTGACTCTAGTGATTTATAGAATGCAGGAAATCCTTCGTATGCAAAAGGTCATGCAACATAATGCTTTTAAAGATAACCCATTGGCAACCATTCATAAACATGTACAAAATACTTTTCTTTGAGATATTTCTATTTTAGGTATTTTGTTGTATTTTTCGATCACCATTTTTAGACAATGATTGTTTACAATAAATTGCATATTTCAAATTTTTTTTGCTCTGCTTTCTCTTACTCGCTTTATCTTCAACAGCAATGAACAATTTTATAGACATAGACGAAATAAGAGGTCGTAATATATTTCATTATGAACATTCAAATAGATTCAGGGCGTACTGCTGTGGATGCATATCCAGTGAATCGAACCTAACGTTCGTATGCTTTCTTTGGGCGGTAAAGATCAAATATGCGTATCAGTGGTTATATTGCTAAATATTTGTTCTTCTAGGCTATTAGTTTCTATTTCGCTGTCCTAGCGTTTCTGCAAAAAAGTCGTAAGTGCATAAAATCCATAGTAATAATTTACCATAAATCCTAAAATACAGCAAATCGTGTAGCATTTTATTCATACATAGGTACTGTACCTCTTGTAGCGTTTGGCGCAATAAATCTACTGTTTGGCATAGTTACTCTCACCTGTATGGTTCTTTACATATCATGGGTAATGTTTTCGGATTTATCAAAAACGGACTGTTACACAGGGAGTTAACGTTTTGAATAGACGCACAAAATTCGAATAGCTCCAATCGAAAATATGTATGCTATGAATGGCACAAAGAAAATCGTATTCGCAATCACTGCTAATGCTTTGGCCGTATTAATTGTAACTTTGGTCAACTTTATCTTGTTTATTAAGGGTAAAAACGAGTTTACAGTCTGGTGTATTGAACAATCCAAGGATACAATTGAAAAAATATATACAGCGGATCACAAAAACACCACCTCATTTCCAGTAGACAGGCTTAACGGCAGTACAGACATCTACAATTGCGAAAGGCTTTTCCAAGATGAGGTGAAATGGGGATTAATATGTCTGATTGTCATGTTCGTCGTTTATGTATGTATCTATATAACTTTTAGTTTCAGTCCATTTAAATTAAAACGCTGTTAATGTGATAGATTCATTGGATTCTTATTATTGCTGCTAGGGAAGCATTAGACTTTTACCGCCAAAGAGGATTAATGCCCGCAATGACGGAATTCTCAAATATCGCACCAAGTAAAACATCTAAAAATTACAATGTATTTCACAGTATCAAACCGTCTACCAATATTCTGCAAGACCTGTTAACGCACAAACAGTATGGACAATTTATACCTGAGGAACAACTGATACATGACAGAAGTTCGAATATTACCATAAGTGTCGAGCCAGAAAAGCTCGTTGATGAACATGTGAATAGCACCGTTATACACTTCGAGGACAACATATACAATAGCAAAGAGATCCAATCTCCATGTAATGTATTACATAAATAAAGAAGTATCGAGCTCAAGACACCTCACAAGGAAACCTTTAACCACTGTGAAATAATTACCAAGTATATAATATGTGTCGAATATGTATAATAATAAAGATGTGCTTTTCAGATAACTTCCGCTGTTATAATTAATTGGTCTTGCAATGACTGTCTCCTAAATACACCAGCTGTTATGAAATTGTCAAATGACACATATGTTTACATAACTAGATAAACCTATAAGTATCGATGTAGATTTAATTAAATCCTGAATAATTGCATGATGCCACTTCTTATTCATCTGCCATAGTCAAAACAGATGCAGTCTTACTTCAAGATAGCCACTTCTGGCTCAGAGGAAAATACCGGGTATTTTGTAAGTAAAAGACGCGGCATTGGCCCACGTGCGGCCGAACTAGCTTTTGAAAGGCTGAGGTTGAAAACGTGCTAATCTTTTGAAAGAGATCGTATTTATCTGATCTTGTTACATTTACAATAATTCGTTCCAGTTACCCAGTATTTTAATAAAATACGGTACAATGAGACACAAAGATAAAATAAATACTTTCATGCACTAATGACTCGAATTGATTGACTCGTTGCATGATTTTAGGGTAGGAATGCGCCAAGATGATCCTTATAACAAAGAAGTACAGAATATTTATGCGCCCCTTCTATTGACATTTGAACATAGAACGATATGACATAACATACCTGAACTCTTTTTATCTATTCCAAACCAAAGTATTAAACCATTTACCTTACCTACCATTGATACCGAATTATTTTGTCCACGATGGTTAAAAAATCACCAATAAGGTAATAACAAAAAGTGACACCAATAAAAAACAGTTCGTGAAACATTGAGGGATAAACGTGCCCTTTCTTTGTAAAAATATATGGATAAGGGTGTTGCAACTAGACTGGTAACCTTTCGCAAGTCTACGGCTATTTTATACGATCGTCAGATATCCATGTACAACCTCATCAAGGAGGTTATATAAATACCCAGTGATAATCCTTATTTTTTTTTTATTCTTTTTTTTTAAACAAACAAGTCTCTATTTACATAAGCATAATATGAGAGGAGCCGGACTCACAATTATTTCTTTGGCCGCTGCTGTGTCTACCGTATTGGCTGGATCCAAGATTTCTACTTCGAGGCCTGCTGATAAAGAAGGTCAATATCCACGTCTTGGTGCTTGTCCTGATCCACATGCCTGTATTTTCCCTCCTGATGTGTAAGTCTAAATCAATTAAGTATCAGCAGATAATTTATCTTGTAATTTATAGATCTACATTTCTTCCGGGTGCTTATTTTGATTTGAGGGTTGAGCTTCACGCTTATGACAAAGATACTTCTAATCCTACCCCCGCTGCATACAAGGAATTTAAAACAACTATCAGAAAGGATCGTGGTGACTGGGTGGATATTAACACTTTCTTCAAGATCAAAACTCAACCCAAGATTGAGAACTGGAACTTTGATTGGATTGATTCTATTGAGACCCAATATGCCTCTATTCTCAACAGCACAAGAAAGCCCATCGAAGTTGCTGTTGCCTCTCGTGCCTGGAGAAAGTTGAAAATTAACACGCCTGGTAATTATGAAGTCAAAGTGCAGTATGGCCCTAAACAATCTTATACTGCAATGTACACCATCGTTGAGCCCAAGAAGCCCAAGAAGAAAGCAAAGAACGTTATTCTGTTTATCTCTGATGGTACTAATGTTGGTGTAAGTGACTAAACAACACGAACAATTTATTTCATTTTCTTAACCAGTATTATAGATGATCACTGCTGCTCGCGCTCTTGCTCGTAAACACACATCTGGAAAATACGAGAGTCTGCTTACCTTTGAAGACTTTGATCACCTTGGTCATGTTATTACCAATTCTCTTGACAGTTTAGTAACTGATTCTGCCAATTCTGCCTCTTCTTACGCCACGGGTCATAAATCGTCTGTCAACTGTTTGGGTGTTTACGCCGATTCATCCCCTAGCTCTTTCGATGATCCTAAGGTTGAACTCATCACCGAACTCATTCGTCGTCGTCAACCCAAGAAAGCTATTGGTATTGTTTCAACTGCCTATGGTCAAGATGCTACTCCAGCTGCTTTTACTAGTCATACACGTCGTAGATCTACTGCTGCAGAGATCACTGATCAAATTATTAATGGTGTTGGTAATTGGACCAATAGTGGTAAGTGATATGATTTTTGGATGTTAAGATTGGTGACTAATACATGTGTGATAGTTGTTCCTGACGTCTGGTTGGCTGGTGGTGCTGAGTATTTTACAGGCCCTCTTGCTCTCAACAAGAAAAATTACTATGAAAGTTTTAAAAAGGCTGGTTATAATGTTGTTATGGACAAGAAATCATTAACTTCCAATAAGAAAAAAAGTGACAAGCTCTTGGGTGTCTTCCGTAAAAGCAACTTGGACGTTTGGTTTGAGAGAAACTTGTTTAGTAATAACACAGTTGGAAACAAGGCCCATCCTGATTTAAGTGGTGCTGATGCTTTGGGATCTAACCAACCTGGTCTTTCTGACATGACTATTGCTGCCTTAGAAGTTTTAAAGAAGCGCGGTGGCGAGAATGGTTTCTTCATGATGTCCGAGGCTGCATCTGTTGATAAGCAATTACATAAGTTTGACTTCCCTCGTGCCTGGGCAGAACTTATTGAAATGGACGTTACTATCAAAAATACTATTGCCTGGCTCAAGAAAAATGGTGAATACGAAGACACTTTAATTCTTTTGACTGCCGATCATGCTCATTCCTTTGATGTTTGGGGTTCTGTCGATTCTGATTATATCATGAGTCATGACGATGCCAGTGATATGCGTAACGCTATTGGTATTTCTTCACAAGCTGGTTGGCCAGGCTATTTCGATACAAATGGTGATGGCTTCCCCGATAACTGGTCTCCTAAAGTCTCATTAGCTGCTGGTACTAACAATGGTCCTGATCATTATGAAGCTTGGCAAACAAGTATCAAAGGTCCTCGTGCACCAACTGTCTTGGGTGAATTTGGAAACTATGTAGGAAACCCTAATGATGCCGCTGGAAAGAACGGAGCAGGTCTTCATTTTGAAAACAATCTTCCTCACGGTGAAGATCAAGGTCAACATTCTATGAGTGACGTTTTCTTATATGCTAATGGTCCCAGTTCAGAGCTTTTTAAGAAGACTTATGAAAATTGGGAGCTCTTCTTTAAAATAACTGAAGCCTTGGATATTCAAAAGCCTACCAAAAACGAATAAGTTTTTCGTTCAAATTTTCAGACCTTTTAAAGTTAAAATATTGTCCTGCGATTAATTAATAAAAGTATTGTCTTTATGCTATCACTGCATTCTTCTTCTTTTTTTATGAAAGTTAGAGCATACGCGCTTTCGAAATTACGAGTACATAGATAGCTCAATACAAAAGTGTCATTATAGTATCACAACATCTCCAAGTCTTAAGCAATGGAATTTTTTCAAAAAAATCCATAAATGTGCTTCGTTTCGTATTATTTAGATTTGTACAAAAAATCATATGATCATTGCCAAGCCTATACTTAAAATCAATGAAGGTAAACTTTAAAGAATAAATTGTTGGCTAGCTAATCAATTATAAAACAAGACAAGATATATGATGGCAGAAGGTTGTCTAAATTAAGGAATACAGAGTAGCTCAATGTTGATTATACTGAGTATATCAGAGAGTTAACCCAAGGTGACCTGAGGAAGACTGAAGTAAAATGCATACTTATAGGTTTTGGAAGAGAATATTTGATATGTATGCTTCATGAAGGAAGCCAGCACGCCCCAATATCCAACACTAATCGAGTAACCAACCAAACATCCTCTTTTTATTGGCCGATTCTTTTTATTTGTCTGGATTTGTAGTGCGAACACTGTAAGCCACAGAATAAAAAAGTAAAAAGTGAATTTATCTGTTGAATCGCTTTTTTCCCTTTACTTCAAAAATATGGTCCAAGTATCTTCAGAATATATATCTATTGGCTGTAATAAAACCGCCCATGCTGCTTCTTGGGGAAATAGTGGTCTTGTTGCATTTGGTGCCGATACCTTGATTGCACTCTATTCGCCTTTGGTAACATTTCAATTACGTAAAAAGAAATTTGGCGACTGAATGACATTTCCGTAGAACGAATACAGTAAAGGCGTCCAGGAAACACTTCCCGGACACAAAGGCCGTGTTATTTGTTTAAAGTTTATCGAAAGAGGTATTTTTTTTTCAACATAGTAAAATAAACGCTCCAACTAAACTGTGTGAAATATAGGCTCTGAGGCTAGTATTAAGGATGTTGCTTTGGTTTCTGGCTCTGCCGATAACACTGCTAAAGTCTGGAAGATTAATGCCAGTGGAAAGGTTAATATGAGAAGTTATTGTGAAACGTGTATAATCATTAACAACCGTAGTAGTGGGTCAACTCGGCAACTTTAGAAGGACATACTGGAGCAGTTGAAACCATTGCTTGCATGCGTGCTCACTCAATTGAAGGAGAAACAGATATGATTATTACAGGTTCTTCTGATGGTAAAATTCGTGTATGGGAACGTCGTGAGGTTGATGCAGACAAAGGTAAAACTAACAATCTACGTTTGCATATTCATACTTATACAAGCCTTTTAGATGAGGTTATCTGCAAGCAAGTCATTGACAATGGTAACAAGTACCCTATGTCTTTGGCCCTTTCTTATCTCCCCGATAGCAAAAGTAAGCAGCTAGAATCAGTTATTATTCTTTTACTCACCATTTTTTTTTTCAAGCTCCCGTATTTGCTAGTGGACATACCGATAAACTTATTTCAATTTACATGTACCAATCCAGCTCTAATCAATTCGAAAAGATGCACACATTGCAGGGTCACGATAATTGGGTTAGAGATCTTTCATTTGCGACATACACCTCTTCTGAAGATCTCACCACCAACAATTTGTTCAAAAATGGGGATTTAATCTTAGCTAGTGGAAGTCAGGACAAGTATATTCGATTATGGAAGATATCAGTTCACGTGCCTGTCGTCGAAACCAAGACCGAAGAATCTGATATTGACAGCGAACTGTCTAAGGCCTTAAAGGAGACTGCATTGTAAGCGCCTAATTCTTGTTTAATATTTGAAAATAATATTAAAATCTTATGTAGATCTGAAGAGCAATTAAGCACAAAGTCACACATTGTCACCGTCGATTCAAAACAGTACTCGATCATGTTTGAAGCATTGTTGATGGGACACGATGACTGGGTGTTCAGTGTAGAATGGCAAAGACCTTCGATTATTGACGGTAAGTTTATCCAACCTATGCGTTTGATCTCTGCTTCGAGCGACAAATCTATGATGATTTGGAGCCCTGATTCCGAATCCGGTGTTTGGGTTAACGAAGCACGTATGGGAGATATCGGCGGAAGCACATACTTAGGATTTTGTGGTGCTTTATTCAGTCCTAACGGAAAGCATATTGTATCTCATGGTGCAAACGGCTCATTCCATTTATGGAGAGACAATTCCAACGTAAAGGGAGAGAACAATTGGACACCAGAAGTAGCAATTAGTGGTCATTTCAAATCTGTTGAGAGCCTTGCTTGGGATCCTAAATCGCAATTTTTATTATCTGCTAGTTTGGATCAAACAACTCGATTATTTGCTCCTTGGAACAGAGATGTCAACGGCAAGAAGGTATCAACATGGCATGAAATGGGCCGTCCTCAAGTGCATGGCTACGATATCAAGTGCATTTCTTTTGTTCATGATTGGCAATTTGTCTCTGGCGCAGATGAGAAGGTGCTTCGTATTTTTGACGCCCCCAGATCATGTGTAGAGAGTTTATCCGTACTAACCGGAGAACAAAATATGAAGAGCGATATTGAAAGTCGACCTGTTGGGGCTAATTTACCAGCACTAGGACTTTCTAACAAGGCAGTGTTTGAAGGCGATGTTACGCGCGATGGCGATGTCGAGGAAAACCATTTCACTAGCCACGCTAAGACTTCTGCCACTGTAGAATCATTAGCAGAGGTATTGGTCCATCCACCCTATGAAGAACATTTACTGCAACATACATTATGGCCCGAAGTAGAGAAATTATATGGTCATCTTTATGAATTAATCTGTGTCGATACAACACATGATGGTAAATTCATTGCTTCTGGTTGTAAGGCTTCCAATCCTGAACATGCTGTGATCCGTCTTTTTAATACCGAGAATTGGAAAGAAGTCAAGACAAAGATTGATGCACATTCATTGACAGCTACCCGTGTCAGATTCTCTCACAATGATCGCTGGCTTTTGACTGTGTCTAGAGATCGCTTATGGTCAATCTCAGAACGTGATATAAATAGTGTAGATACTCCTTATAAGTTGGTTGCCAAAAGTAAAGCTCATGCTCGTATTATCTGGGATTGTGCTTGGAGTCACGATGATAAATTATTTGTCACTGCTTCTCGCGACAAGACTATCAAGATTTGGGCCCAACCAGATGAAACTGCATCGAATTGGTCATGTGTTGCCACCATCAAATGCGCTGAAGCAGTTACTGCCATTGATTTTGCTCCTGTTTCTGTGAACGGAAAGTAAGTCTTAATCTTCTTTTTTTTTGTATATATTTAGTCCGATTATTAAATGTTCTACAGATATGTTATTTCAGCTGGCTTAGAAAACGGTCGTATCCAGTTATTGTCTAGTATAGACATGCAACAAGTTGATCAATGGGGATTATGGCATAATTTGGACGAAAGGTAAAGATTCAAATGGTTCAAGTATCCGAGATAATAATATTTATTTTGTAGACTTTGCCATTATGGTGTTGTTCGTTCTCTTGCATGGCGCCAAACAACTCGCGATAATTTGTTGCAGCTAGCATCTGGTGGCGAGGATCATTCTGTAAGAATTTTAAACGTAGAATATTAAATACTTTTTTTTTACGGTCACCTGTACAATAAACTATTTACCTGACTCAAGTACAACCTTGACTAATTTATAAAGTTTAATACGTTCTACGATATCTTTCTCGACCTGATCGTCGATGTGTGATTCAACTGACCACCGATTAATTAGGTTTTGGAATTGATCGTAGGTTGACACATATGTGGATAAAGTACTTATTAAGATAGATTTATAAGTAAACTCTTCCCTATACATAGAGCAAAGTTTCGAAATCATGTCATAGACGTGACTAGGATCAACTGCTGTTACCTGTATCATTGATTCGGTAGATAATGGATATGACTTAGAAGGAAGAGTCAGTGACTTTGTAACAAGCCGAGAGGCTTCTAGCTCCAAGTTATGGAATTTGTCATTTAGATCGCCAAACTTTGCAATAAAAAACTTCATTTTCTGAAACAAGGCTTCCATTGATTCCGTTTGATTGAATAAAAGTCTAGGTTGATTTACACCATGATCTTCTAAAGTTATAGGTAGATCATAGGTTGCACTGCGTTGTGAAATTACATTGCTGATGGATTGTAACACATTTATCGAATCTGATTGAGTTGTATACCAGGAATCACATAGAGATTTAGATCTTTTCAATATCTCAAAGGACACATTTCGCTCCTGTATTATGTACTGCATATGTCGTCGTGTTTAAGGTATAACTTGGGTAAAAACTCGGAACACCTGAAAAATGTTTTTGTGCGTTGTTTAAACTAAGCAACTCTGATTACAGTGCATCTAGACGTATAGTGCGTCCACTCTCAAATGGAACATTTTTTGAACTTGGTATGGAACATTTTATCTAAATAGGAACTTTATTTAAGCAGTTCTTGAAATGATTTTTAAATCGTTGAGTGATATTAACCAGGTGAGACTCCATAAGTTGACTGCAACCTAGAATTGCTTAGTAGAGTTAAATTCTAGAAGATATACGCACTTATAATCTTTCTTTCTATTCTCTACCAACTGAGCTACTTGGTATCGCCTTTAAGAGCTCAATCTTAGAATTATTGATATGCTTATCTTGTTAATTAAGTATATATCTTGCACACCTTTGTTGTTTAAAACTCACCGAAATTCCTAAACGATTATCATCATTGACTAGTTTTTTTTTCAAACCGTAACCATACAGCATATCTTTGTTGTGGGCTAAATATCTGATGTTAGGCATTCGGTTAATAACTTGTGTGGTAAGAGAACGTGTATATTAAAACAGTTGGCTCTTACTTTCACCTTGCTGAACTGAACCATGAAGTCTATAAACAGTGAGGAGAAGACTTACGGCCTTGTTAAATTACAAAATCAGTTAAATTACCTTGATGTTTCCAAAGTACAAGTACTGTATATAACAAGGTGGGATAAAGCTATATTGCCTTACATACACAAGGCTGTATTATGCATTTCTCCAATTTAGAGTTGTTGCTGTAACAATGGTAATATTGCTCGTGAAAAGCCCAGAATACGTAATTATTGTCCTCTCTACACTTTTGATTACTGTTTCTAAAAAAAAGGGGCCCGCTGTTTTATTTTGAAACTTTACAAAAAAAAAAAAAAAAAAACGATGGAATGGTGCATTATGACAAAAGAAAGATACAAATCTTGGAGACATATAATCAGCAACTAAACTATTATTTTTTTAAGAGAAGAAAAAGAATATTCTTAATGTTTTGATTTAAGTCTTTTTTGTGCTGTCTCAGATGATGCTGATGTAGCTGGCATAGCTGGGAGGGGTGTTCTTTCCAAGAAGTTATCAAACAAGCTAATATCATCTTCATTGACTTCCTTGTCTTGTGAGATAATTTTGAATACCTCTTTGACCATTTCGCAGCATACCCAAGTCGAAAGAATGACGGGCAAAACAGTAGAACCAAACTGGACCACGGAGCTGCTGATTTTCAAGGTACTGCATCTTGAGACACGCGAGATGTACTTTGTAGGTCTATCTAATTTAATAAGTGTACTTGATAAACCAGAATGGATGAAACCAACTGTGCGAATTGCTGTTGAGCGGTCATCAAAGTTGATTTCTTGAAGTAAACAGTCAAGCATGTCTTTCAATATCCGGGGTAGTTTAAAAAAGCCTTCTTCCCTAAAATTAGTGCCAGATTCATCTTCAATGATTGATTTGGCTTCACACGCCCCTAACTCTAAAGGAACAGAGTGCCCATTGCTGTATTGTCTAAATATTATATCACACTTGTGACCATAACGTAATCGAGTTGCTTTTGTGATGGATCCAATGGCTCTCTTTTTATTCATTCTTTTTTTGCATCCTAAACTGGCAGATTCTCCACAGACAGCTTCAATGTTTTTGAGTTTAACAAGTTCACCCTTTATAAAATAGTTAGTTTCTAATTCCAGGTCAACAACCTGTTTCCTTATATTATAAGTGCTTTGACCCTCTTGGTTATCTACACCTTCGTAGTTGCTATCGACATGTTGGAGAGTATCATTATCTACTTCGGATAAATCCTCAACCATTGCAATTTCGTTTCTTATCTGGTTATTTTCGAAAGTCATTTTAAGGTACTTATTGTTAATCATAAGCTTTTTCCGAGCCTGTAAGTAAAAGTATTGTTTGACCAATGTAGTGTCTAAAAGCTAAACATATTCAATGACATAGACGGAAAAAAAGTAGCGTTCAAATACGCGTACCAATTGTGCTTTTTTTTTGTTTTGTCTAGCCCACAGAATGACATTACTGTTGGTGTTCTTTTTCAAGTTCAAGTTACCGATATCATTTAAGGCACTTTCCAGGGAAATGTCTAGAACTCCGTATTTTTTTCAAACGTATTTTTTTTTTATACTACTTACAGAAATTCTGGCCAAAAGACCAGCAGGCCAGAATGTTTGCACTTATTTAAAATGCATCCCTGCTATTCACAGTTTGTGAGGTCCAAAAACTCAAGAACTCTGCCTAGGAGGTCGCCCTCCTATAGCAAATACTAGCCACAGCCGCAATATCACAATATATCTTTTTCAATTTAGCTTCTTTTCAAAGAAACAAGAGTCCTTACTAACTAACCTTTTTACGTGATCGGTTACTTTCATACGATAAAAGAAGTATGTTAAGGGAAAAGAAAAGGAGAAGAATAAAGTGTGTGAACCAGCTTTATTTATAGATAAACAAGCTTATGTCAGGATGATTTCATTTGTCTATTTTATCATCCATAATGTTTGAGCCTTTACTTAAAATAAAAACAGACCATCGCGTGATTCTAAAAAATACGTTTGAAAAAAATACGGAGTTCTAGACATTTCCCTTTCCAGAGCATTTAAACAAGAAGAAAAACTTTCACATTTAGTATGTTTTGCAAAAGCTAGTGCTTGGAATGTTGCGTTTGACGCCCAACTTGTTAATATCCAATCTTTATTTGATTGTTCCATAACGTGTTTTAAAAGAAAGAAAAACGCGCTTTTTTTACATTTTAGATACACGATCGATTTACACGATTGATTTTAAGGACCGACTGAATAATAGCAAAAAGCGTGACGTAGATTTTAAAAATTGAAAAAGAGTGACGTTTCATATTCAGTAGATCGTGTATCTGCGGGATGAAGGAAGTACTTTTGACATAACGTCAATAATTTTTTTTACCCTTTTATTTTTGCTCTTATAATGTTCTCTCAGACCAGAAATGTTCGCGACAGCATGCATGCTGAATTTAATTGTACTTTTGCTGTAGGCAAGTGTTTTGAATCGAGGGAAGATCTTAAGACTGCGATTAGTACCTTTGGGAAAAAGTATAACGTAGTTTTTTCCATCAAAGACTCTCATCCTCGACTTGGTCAATTTATTTACAACTGTAAGCATGGTGGTTTCAAGCGTGAACTTGGAAAGAAGAATGACTCGATTATTGATGATGAAGAGGTTGATGAAACCATTGACCTTACTTCTAAAGATTCGACTGTGCCTGAAAAAAAAACAGTTTACAAAAAAAGCACCCAAAAGTTTCTTTGCCCTGCTTCGATTTCATTGTTTGGATTCACTGTCACCAAAAATCATATACACCATAACCATCCAATTTCACAGGATGTTACAACTTATGCTATTCATCGTAAGCAGAGTCCGGAAATTATGGAAAGAATTTACTCACTTTTGTCCAGTGGACACAAAGATCCTGTCACCAGCGTTATGGATGTAACTATTTTTTTAATAGCACAGAATATCTCATGTACTCATTACATATACGTTCTTAGACCCTGAAAGCATTGAATGTCAAAAACCTAATCAAAAAAGATATCCAGAACATCCAGTCTTTGTATTTGAATGATAATGGAGGAAAGGAGATGTATTATCTTATCACTGAATTAGAAAGTCTCGGGTATGTCATTCGTATCCAGGTGAAAGGTGATCAGGAAGTCAAGGGCCTTTTTTTTTATTCACGAAAAGGCTATAAAGGAAGCTAGATTATGGCCAGAAGCTATAACAATTGACGCTACGTATAAGACATACGCTCACAAAATGTCACTCGTTAACATTGTCGTAACCAGCAACTTTTCTTCTGTTAAAGGAATTAACCGTTTGCAGACGTTCGCTATCGCTGCCGCATTTGTCAACAACGAGACGGAAAATACGTTTCAGTGGATTTTGGAAGAATTGAGGGATGCTGTTTGGCCAACCGAAACCAGATACAAGTTACCTTCGGTCATCGTTACTGACAACGAGCAAGCTTTGCGAAATGCTATCGAAAACGTTTTTCCTGAGAGTCAGCACTTGTTATGTCCGTGGCATCTCTGGAACACCATGTTGACAAAACTTGCAATTGGTAAGGTTGCTTCTGCCGAATACAATTTACGTATTACCGAAGCAGAAATCGAGTTTAATTCAATGATGAGCAGCTGGAATATGCCATCATTCAGAAAAGCATGTGACAATTTCGAGAAAATCATCACTACTGTTGGATACTTCAAGGAAAACGGTCAAATGGCTTTGTCGTATTTGAAGGATGTGTAAGTATTTATGATAAAATTCCCTGTTTGCTTATGGCTAATGACTGATTTTACAAAAAGTTTGATGAAAGAAAACGAAATGAAACGCTGGGCTGGATTATACGCCAATAACCATGCCCACATGGGAAACCGTACATCTGGAAGAGCAGAGAGTTTCCATTCGGGACTGGAGAGAGCTCTGGGAAGTCAATCCGCCTCCAGAATGACGCTTACAACCAAACGAATGCATGCGTACTATGAAAAAAAGGTTTGTCCATTTAGGATTTGTTTAAGTTGAAAATTTGTAAAATAATCACACCAATCTTTTTAAAATGTAGAGAGATGATAGATACAGAAGATTAGCAATTGAAAGAATCAGTATCGATTCTGTTTCATTCGACGAAAGCCGAGAATATCGATTTAAAGCCCTCGCTTTTAATGTTGTCCGCTTTGCTATGGATAAGATTAGAGAAAACCTTGTTTTATCCTTGCAAGATAATTTCGTCTCGAAAGGAAAAGACTGTAATTGCTGGGATCGTGTAAGGTATAATCTTCCGTGTCCATGCGTTATCAGCATTCATCCTGGAGTCTTGCCTCTATCAATTGTAGATAACCGTTGGAGATTTGAGCGCGATGAAGGTAATTGTTTACATAAAAATAGTGGCCGAATGCGCTTAATGATTTTTGGTTTCTAGATTATGAAGAGGTTAGAAAAGGTGGTGACGGGAGCCGTGACAGCAATCAAAATATGACCAAAGAGAAGCCTGGTAAGTTTTTTTTCTTTCATTTTTATTATAAAATTATAAATGTGAGGCATTTAGTATGGGACGTTATATGTTACGCATGTTTCTGTTTGTTACTGTCTCAGTTAATATTTTAAATAAAACAAAATCCTTCATCAATTGTGATATATTGAACTGGTATCTACGCTATTGTTTTTGTTACGCTGCTTAAATGTATGTAATAATTATAACTGTCGATTTGTGCCTTTTAATGCTTCGTGCTTTGTATTAAAAGAAGGATGGAATATCATATTATAAAATTACATTGAAGGCCGAAAATAAGTAACTAATGAAGTCATAAATACAATCTTTAAACCATAGACGAAGTGGGAATTGAAAACAAAGCCAAGAGTGAAGTTCCATTTGAGAAAACAGCAAGAGCTATATATGATATAGACGGTGAAGGTGAGTCATACATATCAAACACATCATTTTATTAGAACTTAACATGTAAGAAAATAGATGATGAAATTGTAGTAGATACTGCTACCCGCGTTCAAGAAGGTACATTGTGTATAAATTGAAAATTTAGTACACGTAAATCCTTATTTTTTGACGTATAAAAGTTATTGACGATGAAAAAAGAAGCATCAACGAGTATCTTGATGGAAGTGGTAATGACGATAGAAACGAAGCACGTGGAGAAAACCCTATGCCTTCGTCAACTAAAGGTGTTTATTGTTATTGCTACTATTAAGAAAAAATCCGAAGCTAACGTTTATTTCTGTAGAACATGCAGAGGACGAGCCAAAGAACAACAGAGAACGAATGATGCTCCGTGTTGAGAAACTGTTGCATGATATGTTTACCAAAATAAACTCGTTGGGAACACAGCAAGAAATCAGCAATGCCATCAAAGTGTTGGAAAAGGCTGATTTGGATATAAAAGAACCCGAAATCAAAATGGATGAGCTGCAACCGCCTTCCGTAAATACAAACAGAAAGGGGCGTAAGTCAAAGCGCGGCGTCAAGAGTAACACTGAAAGGCTCAAGATTGCGTCAGAATTGTTTTACGAGCATCAAAACAAAGAGATAAAAAAGAAAGAAAAGAAAGAAAAGAAAGAAAAAGAAGATGAAGAATTTGAGAGAAAGAGAAAAGAACTCTTCCTTGAAGAAAAAGAAAATGATCTTCAACAAAAGAAAAGAAAGCTGACTATGTTTGTTCGCGAAGATCCCTCCTCTTCTGGTAGCGATATCAAAACTGAAAAATCAGTATCGCATTATGATCGGTAAAGAGTTGCATATTCCTATTAACACAATACGCTTTATTTTGACTTATCTCTACTTATTTATATATTATTTAGCGTTATTACCTACCGCAACTCTAAAAAGGATGTGGCCTTTGATTGGAGTCATATCAGCCCCAAAAATGTAATTACTGCGATTCATAACGTTGGAGCTGACGGAAATTGTGGTTTTAGAGCTGTAGCTCTTGAGGTATACAATGGCCAAAGTCAATGGTTAAAGGTCAAACACCAAATGCTACAGACGTATATTCAGTATCATGATACTTTATATAAGCCTGTAGATGAAAAGTCTGTTGAACTAGAAAAGATTAAGATGGTTAGACGACTTAATTCTTCTAAATCACCATGCCTTAATGAAGAAGACTAACTTTTGTGGTTCAGCACATTTAGCTGTCCCCAAGTTGTGGCAGACACATTTGAACGGCCTGTGATTCTTTTCAGTCATGTTAAGTATTTTTTAAAAGATACAGGAGAGCCTAGGGTGAACCGTGAAGCACAAGTTTTATTTCCTCTCGTGAATATGCCACTTAAAAACGTCGATATGCCAATCACTCTTCTTTATTCGTCCTTTCATTTCTACGCAGTAGAATTCCATCGCACTCCAACTGGACGTTTGAAGAAGTTTGATAAACCTGCCATTGACATGGATAATGGCCGTCTTAGACAATCATATCCTGATATCTGTAACATGCAAAATTTTGCCATTCTTTTCTAAACATTAGTTTCAACAATTATCCTCACTTTCACAAACCAAAAAATAAACCAAATGCTCTTTGACATAATTATTCTTATTTGCAATTGTAAGACTTGCATTTTGTATTGTTTATTCCTATTTCTTAATTCTATCAGTCTTAGGTTCTTCAGACATAACTTTTAATGTTTTTCATGCCTTCTATTAAAAATACTTTAGTTGCATTACATTATTATTGAAGTTCTTATTAGACAATGAAATAATTCAATAGACATTAAATATTTAAGTTTGTTATGTCAGTGGTTCCTTGCCTTTGTGCTTTAGTAAGCTTAAGTCATAAACAATGTAGAATTGCTCGACATCCCCCTTTATAAGAGCTTGAAAATATTCATTATTGATAGTAAATAACGCAAAAGCAGAGATAAATATGACGATTTAGAGAATGTATTTGACACCCTTTTCTCGCCTTTGGTCCAGTTGTACCATCTGTGAGTAATTTCAGAGCGAGTTTTAGCCTGAAGCCAGAATTAGTTCCTATTCTGAGGCCACACTCATATATTTAGCATGCCTCTGGTCTCAACAGAATTACAAAGGTACCATCTATTCAACATAAAGGGGGCGTGTAACTTCAATAATATATTCCTAACAGTATTTTTAATATCGTTTTGATAATATTTGTTTGAATATGCTATACATTCGGATAGTGTCAACCTTTTTTCTTCAGCTCATGTGCAACGTCAGATTCCGAATATGGAAGGTTTTATCCTCAACTTTTGAAACTCAATATATTTTTTCTCCGTAAGCACTGTAGTTGATGAAACTGATTGCAAATAGTACAAACTTTCTCTTCTCCTCCCAACACCAAATTAAGGGTTAGTGCATACACCTAAGATATACATCGATAGAGAGAAAACAGATGGATGATTTATTTTAGATATGGATGGATATCAATTTGAATTTTTTTTTTCTCGATGGCAAAAATGACATGACATGCTAAATGTATAATTTACGAATAGATTTGATTTAAAATGGGTCGCGTAATTCGTGCTCAGAGAAAAGGTGCTGGAAGTATCTTCAGATCTCACACTGTAGGCCGTAAGGGTGCTGCTAAGCTCCGTGTCTTCGATTTCGCTGAACGTCATGGTTATGTTCGTGGTATCGTTAAGGACATCATTCACGATCCCGGAAGAGGTGCCCCTCTCGCCAAGGTCGTTTTCCGTGATCCTTATAAGTAAGATGGGATAAATTTATAGAGTGTGATTTGGTATTAACTGGGCAATTTTAGGTACAAGCTCCGTACTGAAACTTTCATTGCCACCGAAGGTTTATATACTGGTCAATTCATTTATGCCGGTAAGAAGGCTTCTTTGAACATTGGTAACGTCTTGCCTTTGGCCTCTATGCCCGAAGGTACCGTTATCTGTAATGTCGAAGAAAAGGTTGGTGATCGTGGATCCATTGCCCGTACCTCTGGTAACTATGCCACTGTTATTGGTCATGGTGATGATGGTAAGACCCGTATTCGTCTTCCTTCCGGTTCCAAGAAGGTCATTCCCTCTACCTCTCGTGCCGTTATTGGTATCATTGCCGGTGGTGGTCGTATTGACAAGCCTCTCTTGAAGGCCGGTCGTGCTTTCCACAAGTACAGAGTCAAGCGTAACTCTTGGCCCAAGACTCGTGGTGTTGCTATGAACCCCGTCGACCATCCTCACGGTGGTGGTAACCATCAACATATTGGTAAGGCTTCTACCATGGCTCGTGACTCTCCTGCTGGTCAAAAGGTCGGTTTGATTGCTGCTCGTCGTACTGGTCTCCTCCGTGGTACCAAGAAGATCAAGGATGCTTAAATCACTATCTAGTAATAATAAAACTCTTTTGAATGTAAATGTAATATTGTAAAATTGGGCGATAGTTTTATTTGTGTGAATGACTTGCTGCAACGGACGTGCTCCTAACCATTTAGGTCTGTCTGCGGCCTTTTTTTTTTTTTTTTTTTTTTTTTTTGCGGTTGTAATAAAATGGGATTTCAAAGCCCCCCCTGGAATTCCTTTTATATTCGTTTCTTTCTTGTATTCTTACATTATGTTCCTTTCACGTTTTTCTCGCAGTGTTGCTATCAGTCGTGCCTTTTACTCAACCGAAGCTCCCGCCAGTTTGAGTGCTGGTGAAAAGCATATTTTCCAAAAGCTCACAGAAGCACTCTCACCTCATAAACTTCAAGTCGCCGATGTTTCCGGTAAACTTTTTCTTTATTTTTAGCTTGTTCAATCACTAAGTCAGTTTTTTAAGGTGGCTGTGGATCCATGTATGCCATCGACATTGCTGCTAAAAAATTCGAAGGAACTAGCATTGTAAAGCAACACAGAATGGTAAACGAAGTTTTAAAAGAAGAGATCAAAGGCATGCATGGGTTGCAGGTAATGTTAATACAACAGTGCCAACATTGATAACTAATTTGGAAATACAGCTTAAAACATCAGCCAAATAATAGGGCTTACTACATCAATAGACATTTTTTTTTATTATTATTAAATTAAGCTACCTGCCCCGAATTGTGTTCTTTCGGACCTATCAACTTCTAATTCGATTAAATGATCTTGCAGGGCAACAAAAAGCTTTCGACAGTCGGGAGAAAAAGTAAAACCAGTGATTGCACGGTCCTCATTTTCAGGCGATAGTCGTACTATTTGTCTCGTTTCGAATGTTCGTGTATCAACAATGTAAATGTTAGACACATGTTCGGTGTAAGCTAGCAGATCGATAGGGCCTGAACTAAATTGAACACAACGAGCAGCCTTTTTGGCCTTTCGAGTCTATAACATCGTGTTCGTCTTTAATATGGGGGTTTTTTTTTTTTCTGTCTCGATTTCCTTTCCTACCTCGAATGATCCCAATTGAGCAAGTCTTAAACCTGAATGGATATTAAACACGCTTACAAATCCATCTTGACTTGTTACAGCAAACATGTCTGACGACTGGTTCCACGCGCACGATATACATGGTTCATTAGAAACTAATGTGTTTGAATTAGAAAACATCGCTAAAAGATTGAAATAGCTTATACCTTTGTAGCTACTTTGCTCTTGGTAAAGTCCATATTTATTAATATGGTAAAGGTAAACTCCACCATGATCACTTGCCATGAGTAATTTTTTACCATCAGGACTAACAATGCCTTTCAGAACAAAAGACATTAATACCACCTTACTTTATTTTAGTCAGGACACACTTACAGTAATTGATTACAGCTGCCATTTTTAAAGTTTGGATCTTCTCCAATTCAGGAATAGTAGAGACATAAACAGATTGATCGCTGTTGCATACGACAACACGTAATTTAGTGTTCCATTCCGAGAGACATACTGATTTGTTCATCCCTTCCCCCAGACGATATGTTCGGAAGTATCCGGTGACAAGGTTTTTTAGCATGATTATACCAGTTTGACCTCCAACAACCATATATTGTCCTCTTTGTGCTCATAATTAGTAGAGATAGTTTACGTTTCATTCGTTTAAAACGTACCTCGTGTCAAGTGTGGTGGGTGTAAATGACAATTCGCTGTGGAATTTTGTGTCTCTTTGGGTTTTAGTATCAAACTAAGAAGGGGTTATTTACGAACCAATCCGTTCACTACTGCAAACGAAATACCTTGTATATTGCGTTTTGCTTTGGGTGGATAATTGCTGTATTACTGAGACTGCAAATAAGATCACGTAACTTCCTACACTAATCTGTTTAATATGCGCGAATCTTTATGCTTCATTGTTTTACCAGTGCTGAATAAATGTTGAAACGTAATAGGACTTTTTAATTGAAACAAATAACCCGTTATTCAAACTGGAATAGAATAAATATAAAATTAGTTAAGCCCTATAAGTAGGATAGTGAAGGCTTGTTTTACATAGGTTTATCGCCCTTTAGAGACTGGTTAATAGTAACCCTTTTATCAAATGATCTTTGCTGTAAGAACATTTCTTTGTGTGCCCTTATTTTTTATCTGTTACTAAAGAAAGAAAAGAAAGAAATAGAAAGTCGTAATAACTTTTTTTTTATAGGGTATCAGAAGTCAGCCGATTGGCGATGTTTGTTTTCTTTTCTGATGTATCATTAGCATCTGCGTCTTCCAATTACAAGATACATTTTTATTACAGTATCAATCTTTGTGTTAGTATTCTCTATATATTTCAAAATATCTTAATGCTGCATTACGTCCTCTGTGTCTACTACTTTGACATTGATTATTGTAAAATCAATATCATTATCACACGACTTTACAGACTCAGGTGATTTACTAATTGGATATAGTTTGATATGTTCGGTTCACAAATATGTAGTACTTGATGGATTGTTAGAGCAGAAGAATGGCCTCGGATTCTTCGATATATACAGATACGTTTATAAGAAGTCAATAGAAACTGTTGACGTAAGTAATACAGGTGAAATTTTTTTATTTATACTTCTGTTTAGGCTTTAATTTATTATTGAATGTGAACACACTACCACATGTCTGCAGCGCTCTTTCTGCTCTCCTTCTTCTTGTCGATGCTAGTGTGTGTTTGTATCACAGGTTCTTTTTCAACCCAAACTCCTTCATACTCTTCTTCTGGTTTGATAGATCTATAAGGAGATGTCGCTTTTTTACTTTTACGCTTTCTTTCGTCAGGACTTCTACTTCTCTTTCGGCTACTCCTATGCTTCCCAGGACTTCTGCTTCTTCTGCGACTACTTTTATGGCTTCTTTCTTCGTCTCGGCTGCTTTTTTTATGTCTTCTTTCTCGACTGTCTTTATCTCCTCGGCTGCTATGTACATCACGACTTCTGCTTCTTCTACGACTACTTTTACTGTGCTTGTGTCTACTGCTTTTGTGATGCCTTGAACTAGATCTGTCATCCTCTTCTTCTTCGTCGGATATAGATACATGACGGCGCTTGTGCTTACTCGATCTCGGTTTAAATGGTTGGACCACAAATTCTTCTGAAATGACATTTGTCAATGGTATAGTCGGTTCTTTCCTTTCTGACGCTCTTTTAAACATGGGACGGAAAGGCTCCGAAGATTCAGCAGACTTTTTCTCTATAGGTATATCAACTGTAGCAACTGGAGGTGGTGCAGGAGGACCGATCAATGTTTCCTCTTTTTCAACCACTGTAGTTAGTGTGTTTTCTGGCTGTTCTTCATCCATTTCATCCGAATCATCGGAATCATCCAAATTATCAAAAATAGCCTTAAATATATCCATAGAAGGTCTTTCATAGTCTAATGGCGCTCCTTCTTCTTCCTCATCCTTAATTACTTCCTTATTAACTCCAGTTGAGGGGGCTGATTCATCGGTTATTCTCTCCGAAGGCTTGGGTATAACTGCCTTCAGTGTTGCATCATTTGGCTCGGGTTGGTTTTCAGAGGTAAATTTCAATGGAAGACGTTCATTCAACATGGATTCCATGGATTCTTTGCTAAGAGCTTCCTTATTTCCAGCCCGTGAACGACCAACATCTGCATCAGCTGTAGGATCATGATTTGGGTGGGGGTTGCGGACATTGAATCTCTTGCAAACAATACGGTTGGGATAGAATGGCTTTACTGTACGAGTCAGGTTACCAAACATCTTCATTGCTGCTGCTTCTGCTTCCTGAGTCAACTGGCGGGAGAAAATGTTTCAGTAATTATTTCTTATTTCAACTCTCTAACAGTCTTACCTGCTTCTTTTCAGGCTCTGGCATAGCCTTTGCTCTGGCTTCTTTCTCTTTTCTGTATTGTTCCTCTGTCTTTAATCCACCTTCAAAATTAACAACCTCTACGTTCTTGGTTTCAGCAGCCGATGTAAAACGTCCACTCATCATGGCACTGATGGGTCTAAAGATTCTTGCAGCCTTGGCAAATTCGTCCATTTCTTTCATACCAGCTTCGTAAGATAAACCTTCAGGAATAGGAAGCACAGATTTGGGGACGCCATCTTCTGTTAAATGACCTGCGAGATTTTCGAGGTAATGTCGATATCTAGCTTGCTTCTTCAGGTTATCACCAAATGGCATAAAACCTTGTAAAGCCAACTTTGCTACATCTTTGGGCACGACTGGAAAATCGGCCAATTGAGATTTGTCTTTACCAATATCAATGAAGAAGGAAACAGCACGATCCAATTTATCTTTGGAATGTTTAGGGATATAATCAAACACTGACCTTGCCTCAATAGGTTTTTCACCAAGTGCGTTTCCTCTCTCTTCAAATGAAAAGACACTTTCTTTAGTAATACTCGCTGCTTTGGGTGTATCATTGGAAGAGACATGATGATCTTTAAAATCTTCAGGAACCTTTGGTGGCGGATGCCATTTGCCAATATGTTGCTTTTGATCCGATACCAAAAACCCTTTCAGAGGTGGCCTTCCGTCTGAGCATTTTAAAGTGTTGGTGGTTTGTTCAGCTTCCTGTTGTCTTTTGCGTTTTAACCCTTGAGCCTTAATTTCATCCTTTGTAAATCCACCTTCATTTTCATCATAAAGGGCATGATGGTAGTTTTTTAAGGCTGGCTCGCTACCGCCATAAACATCATCATCGTCACCATCATTTTCATCAAAAGCACCTAGTCCAAAAGCACCACTTCCTTGCACACCAAACGAAGCTCTGTTTTTGCTATCTATTGCAGTCCCGCTCATTTCTTCTTGTCTAGTAATTTCACGTAATCGTTTCATTTCTGCTACCTGAGGCACAGAACTAGACAGATCATAGCCTAAACCATATGTATCTCTTTTGGCTTGAAAATTCTCGATAGGAGTATCGCGAGGTGCAAAAGTCATATCAATATTATCATCATCACTTTCTTCGTCATCTAGGGATCGTTTTGTGCGTGGCCCAATACCTTGGCCTGGTCTCCAACCCATCTTTCTCAACAGTCGAATACCCACTGAGTCCTTTGGTGGACCAAACATTCCCATCAAACTGGAGCCTAACAAATCACCACTTTCCGATTCCAGTTTCTTACGTGTCGCTAATTCTCGTTCAGTTCCGCCTAATATATCAAATTCTTCTGTTGCCACTAGCTTTCTGGCACCTGCCATAGCCTAAACAGAAACTCAGTTTTCAGTTCAAGCTTCCCCCCAATCGATTTGCTTAAGGAAATTACCTCTAGATCTTCTTCGTCCATGTAATCTTCAGGACGTGCTTCTTTTCTTTCATTTCGTGCAGATCGTGAGGACACAAAGTTGCTTGGCTCCCAACCTAAATTCCATTAGCAATGCATTTTATTTGTATTTGACACTCAATTACCTTCTTTTGATCCAACCGTGTTGAAGTAACCGGCAGAAAATCCACCTGTAAAAGCACCGTGGAATCTACGACGACCTTGTTCATCTCTTGCCTCTTGTTTCCAAACAGGTACAAACTGACCGGCATCCGATCGTCCTGCACGCCTATCTTTATCTGTAGTTTCTGGAAACGCTGTGCCAAAAACAACAAAATTTTCTGGAGCTTTCGACATGTTAACTTTTTTTTTATGTAAAAATCAGCTAAGAAAGAAAAAAAAACAAAAATTTGGTTTATGGCAGATTAGGCAACCAATCAAGACCCTTGGTTTATATCAAGACATGCAAAAATTGGGAGTCATTATGGAGAGGATTGTTTTATTAAGATACGTGTATTTTTAATATATTTAAACAGCAGAGGTTTTTTGTTGAGTTTCTTCGATAGCAGGGATATTATGATTTAATTGCTCGTCAGTCCACATAGGAGTAAACTTGGGTGCATCCTTACTACCAACATTACAAAGACCACCAATGGCCTCGTAATCAGCAACACGTCTAAAGCTATAGCGGTTCCAGATATCTTCAAGAGAGGCTACAAGATGATCAATCATTTCAGGTGTATGACCAGGAGAAGGAGTGATACGAAGACGTTCTTCGCCGACAGGAACAGTTGGGGAATTGATGGATTGAACATAGATACCATATTCGTTTAAGAGATCATCAGAAGCAATCTTTGCAGATTCAGCATCACCCAAAAGAACGGGAACAATGTGAGAAGAGTTGGGCACAACAGGGATACCAAGTTCAGCTAATCTAGCCTTCACAGTACGAGCATTTAATTGTTGCTTACGACGTTCAGCATTTGAATTTTTTAAATACTTGACACATTCTCTACCACCGGCAACAATAGCAGGAGGGAGTGATGTAGTAAAGATAAAACCAGGGGCATAAGATCTGATCATATCAATGAATTGGGATGAACCAGCAATATAACCACCAACAACACCGAAACTTTTACCAAGAGTACCAGTGATGATATCAATTTCGTCCATGATACCACCGTTACCACGATGAGGATTTGCTACATTTAAATCAAAATCGAGATGTTCAGCAATACCGGCACCACGGGGACCATAAATACCAACAGCATGCACTTCATCTAAAAAGGTGATGGCGTTGTATTTCTTTGCTAACTCGACAAACTTGTGAATAGGAGCAACTGATCCACACATGGAGTAGACAGATTCAAAGGCAATAATCTTGGGTCTTGAAATATCAACAGATTTCAGTAATTCCTCAAGATGTTCAGGATCATTATGACGGAAAATGTGTTTTTCTGCCTTGGAATGGCGGATACCTTCAATCATGGAGGCGTGATTAAGTGCGTCCGAGAAGATGACACAGTTGGGCATCTTGGATCCCAAAGTCGATAAGGTCGCATCGTTGGCTACCATACAAGAAGAGAAAACAAGAGCTCCTTCAGTGTGATGTAAATCTGCCAGCTCAGACTCTAATTGTAAATGCAAGTCCGCATTACCAGCAATATTACGGGTTCCACCCGCACCAGCACCATAGCGATCCAAAGTTTTTCTGTACGAATTATGTTAAAAAAAAAAATTTTTTTTTTTGCTTATTTTTTACTTACTTCATGGTCTCGATCAAAATTGGGCTAGCACCCATACCCAGGTAATCATTAGCACACCAAACAGTGACTTCATCCTTAGGACGGGCAAGATGGGCCAAAGGAAACTTTTTGGCAAGACGGTTGATGTTGTTGAAGTAACGATAACTTTTATCGTTGTGCTTCTTATCCAACATATTCTTGTAGAAGCTTTCATATTCAAAATGTTCGGCCTTCTTTTCTTTGGGGGAGGTATGAACACCTCTGGTTTGGATAGCAGCACCCATGACAGGGCATTGATTGGCCTTGGTCAATAACCCACTTGACTTGTTCAATTGTCTAAGAGCTGCAGTATTGTTTACATTTAAAAAGGGACATGCCTTACGGGCTTGTAAAAGAGCAGACTCCATTTTGATGTGTAACTTGTGTTTTTTTTAAAAAAAAAAATAGAGAAAGAGGGGTAACAAGAAAACCTATAAACAGCAATTCCATCTACTTTATAAAAAAAAAACTTTTTTTTTTACAGGGTGGAGATTTAATTTGACTGTTAATTGGTAATTCAATCAAGCCTTTATCACGATTCTTTGGACTTTTAAAAGAAAACAAGAATAAACTATTTCCTTTAGAGTCAATAAACAAATAAAAACCCAGCCAGTAAATACTCTTTTAGTCCATAGCACCTTTGTGCATTTGATAGGTACAATTTAGAATGACAGTTCAGTTACAAATCGGAGAAGAAAAAAATTCTCACTTTTAACCCGTAATGATGAGTCAAAATAAAAAGCTCTTCTGATGGATAAAGATTGTGTGACTATAACCCTTCAAAAAGTTTTCTTTTCTCGCCTGATTTTATCTGTAATGTCGATGCATCTCTACATAAGCAGTAGATAGACAGGACCAGTTCACCCAATACTTGAGAAAGGTTCATGTATAAAAACAAGCTGTCATTGAGATCAACTACATGTTAGGAAAGGCACACTAAAATACTGACTAAGCGAATAAATAAAAATCCTATTTCCACACATAAGAGGTCGCTTGAGAAGGTCCAGTAACCATGCATTTGTGGTTTGGTAAGTTTCGGTAAAACATCAGATGTGCACAACACATATTTTAGCCGCATTCCATAAGTGGTTATGTACAGGGCCAATCGGCGCACTGAATTCCCGCTTCCGACTAGCAACTTGTGATTGGCTCAGACTTGATTAATAGCATTTTTTTTTCTTTCTCTCTGTGGGCTGCTAAATTTGATGACTGAGGCAATAGCTGGTACTTGATTATATGTCGGGAGAGCTATTAAGTGTGTTTAAAGTTACGGGCTGTAATGCCAAACAAACAAACAAAAAAATATTCTGAAGAAACTAAAGATTTATTGAGAAAAAGAGTTGTGCAATTAGGGTGGGAATGTTATAGAATATGGAGTAGATGAACCTTGGTGCTGTACAAGTAAAGTGAAAATTTATGTAGAGTTAAATTTAAGCAATAAGCTTTAAAAGGACTGGTGTATATTGATACATTGTTACAACTGAAAGAGAGACAATGCTCAACACAATGGTGTCTATGAGGATGATGAGAAAACACTTCATAGATTTAGAAAAAATAACTTAATACTTACTGAATAAAGCTTTTTCCCAAGGTTCCAGCATATAAAGAGCCGTTTGAAGCTCATATTGATAGAGTTTAGTAGATAAAAAGCTTGACTTGTGTTTAGAGTCCATTTTGGTCAAGAAGAAGAAAAGGCGCAAAAAAAAAGTAAAAGGGAGGTCAGCTAAAAATACACAAGGGAAATGTGCCTTATATAGTAAATCGAGTCACGACGAAAAAAATAAAAAAATGGAGTTGTCTCACAACTATTGTAGGGCCGTTAAACAATGGATCCAAAACAATGTTGTCACTCACACTGTTACACAGTTTAAGGGCTGAAGAAGAAAAGCAAGTTGCATAACTCATGATGATTTGCAATATAAATTCATTTGGCCTCCTTGGTGATCTGCCTTCTTCTCTCTTCTCCTTTCTTTTTTTTTTTTTTAATATATTTTTCTAATAGTCAAGGTATGTCGTCTGAAACAGAAGCTCTATTCAAATATTATAGTAACCAGTCCAATTACCGTACAATTCGCCAGGGAGAAGCTCTGTACATGACGACTGCGAAATCCTTACACTTTAATGACTATCATATTCACTGGAGATTACATTTCTTTTGGACAATAGCAGTAGCCTGCTTTGTAATGGCTAAACTATGGTGGCTTGTTCCTTTACCTGGTTACGACGTTCTCCCTGCTTTTCGTACGTATCCCGCCAATTTCTTAGACACCATATTCTTGACATTTGCTTGTGCTCTTGCCACAAGATCAATTGTCATTGGATTGTTAAAGTCTCTTAGAAACGGTATTCATCCTGATTCAATTATTGCTTTTGGCTCTACCGGTGGATTTGCTGCCATGTGGTCTTGTATTAAACACAGATCCGGCGTTCGTTATTTCTTGGTTGCTATGCTCGTTACTGCTTGTACCTTGCTAGGTAACGCTTTAGCGGGGGAATTACAATCCACTGTTCGGATTTATTACAAAATAGGTGGTGTCACATCGCTCAATACAGCAGAATGTCAGCACATCTCTAGCAAAGATTATATGCTGGCATCATCAGCCTATGAATCTGGACTCATTACCAATACCATTTCGGATGCAACATCACTCCTAAATACCCTAAATGCATCTCAACCAATGAAATCATTCACTATATCTATAATCAAATCATCGCTTGCTCCTATTCAAAACATTACCTTTCTTCCGCCTCAAAGTAACACAAACATTTTAAGGAGACATCATCCTCGTCCAAAAACGACCACAACCGAGACCGCGGTACAAGAACAACAAACACCTATCAGTACGTTGATCTCTTCATCGATTTCACCAGTATCAACAATCCCTGTTTTTAATAATATCGATGCAAACAATGAGACAAATGCATTGATCAGCACAATCACGCCTGAAAACATCATTTCTGCAAGTATAACAACTGCAACAACAACTGCAACAACAACTGCAACAACAACTGCAACAACTGCAACAATTTCAACAATTTCAACAACAGTTGCAGCAGCTTTACCAATAGATACAGTCGAACCTGGTATAAATATGAACAAATTCAGCTCTGCCAGTACGGAACATTTATTAATTCCATCATCTGCAACCGGGGAATTCAACCAAAGTAGCCCGCTGTCTATATTTAGAAACAATACAATGTCTATTGCCAGCCAAATTATATTAAATGCTTTCCGGTTTACAACATCCGACCAGCAAGAAGTGATAGGAGTGTATTCTTCATTAAATGAAATTGTAACCGGAGTGTATGTAAACGCAATCTCCATAAATCATACTTGTCAATCACGGGGTAATAATGTGATATGCGACGAAGGTAAAACTTATACTGCAAACAACAAGGTGGTTGCAGATGCATTGGTATCAGCCATCCGATCAGGCGACGGCCTCTATGGAACAAACTCCGGTGCCGGATTAGCGATGGATATAGTCAATGGTGTCAATAGTACTGGTAAAAAGAGTAAACTAGCCGATTCTTTATTTGCCAATCCACTGTGTAATGATCCTGATTTGATTCCCTCAGAAGGAAACATTTTAATTCCTTATTCGGCCGCAAGATTGAGCAATTTGGCCATCATTTGGTTGATTTTGTTCCTTATTCTGTGGATCATTGGTGTGTTTTTAATTGGCTATACAGAACATACTTGGACTCAATTAGCTACCACTGGAAATATGCTACCTCAAATCATTAGCAAGTCCCCGAACATGTTTGAAAGCAATGATTTGGGTGCAAGCACAATTAACCAAGAGATGTTTTTGGACCAAGAAACCGGTCAAATGACTTTGGATAGAGTTTATCGCCATGGTTACTCAGTTACAACGACAGTCGTTGGCTAACAATCACACTCACACTCACACACACACACAGCATTTGTCATCAAAGATCTTAATAATAAACCAGTCTTAATTTATATCATGTATTAACAATTATCGTCATTTCTCTATATCCTTTAAAAGTGCGACTTACGAAGCGCATCTATTTTTAGAAAGCAACGGATCTCTCTCATCACTAAATTTCCATAAACCGCAATCTTCGCAGTGGGTTTCCTCCACACAATTAGGCAACGGAAAGTCTTCAGGTCTTTTGAGAATGCTTTCGATAATAGTTCCTATGCGATGGTAAGCTACGTTGACCCTCCATCCCTTATCTTTGACCGTATCCCATACACACACCTACAAACATACGCGTGAATAAAATAAAATACATGAATCAAACTAGGCTTACTTTTGATGTATGACATCTGGTTTCCATTGCAAACCCAGCATAGAAGCATCCACTTGTCGGGCCCTATGAATTTTATAATTAGGCGAAAAAGCTTCATATTTATCCGTTTAGCAGCGCTACTTACTGTACAAACGCCAATAAAGATAGGATCGGCAGTATGTCCAAAATGCCATATAGGCATGTCGGGTGCGCCGGGAGCATGAGGTAGATGCAATCGCCTTGCAGCTGAACGATCTCCCGGGCTTTCGAAACTGACAGCAGGTACGCCAAAAGTCTGGCCCACTAGACTAGCCACTGCCCCACCTAACGAATGTCCCGTAAGCCAAATTGTCGCATTTGGATATCTTTCGTACGTGTCAATATATATGCTCTATTTTGTCCACTTTAAGAAATTATGCATACTATGTAAGATAATTAAGTAGACTTACAGAAGCGTAATCATAGTACATCTCTGAGTTAGCAACACTCTCGTCTAAGCATTTTGCGTCGCATTGATATTTTGCCTTATTGTCCATGCATGAACATACAGGTTTCCATGTGGGCCCTAGTTTACCACAGCAACATGAAAAGAGTAAATTATCCTATAAATTTTCAATTTTTTTTTCTTTGATATAATAAGGTTCGAGCCTACATTTAATTTATCCTTTTCTCCTGTTGGTTCTCCATAGATACCAGCTGTCGTTCCTTTAAAACTGATGATTAATAAAGAATTATCTGTATTACCAAAGACATGTCCTCTTAATCCGTCTGTTTCCCATCCAAATGTCGAATTCTAATTACAATAGGAATAGTTTAACGAAATATGTAGAAACAAAAGAAGTGTTACTTACAATACGCCATTGTCCACCCAAGTCATACCATTGACCATCTTTTCCTAATTCTGTATATGCGTTGAAACTCATTTCGGCCAAAGACAATACGGAAGCATGGTCTGTGACATCAGGTATAAGAGACTTTTCTGGATACAGTGTTTCCTCTTGGGACCACCTTAACAATTTCCCCGATTTTCCAAGGTTGAATAACTCTTGTTTATATTGATTACTCGGTCGATATGTTGTTCCCACCACGTGCTTTAAACTATACGGCATTTTACTAGCCTGATTTATAGCCGGGATTTCCATACGACGAAAATGATTGGGCGAAGGGCCATTGATGTTTGTATGGTGATATATGGATTTGAGAGACACAGCCTCTTTAATTGTGCCAAATGTACTTTGTAGATTTGCACATGATACACAAATTAAATAGCAATAAATAATAAAAATGTTCCGGATAATCATGATTTTGTGAGAAGATCAAGAAAAAGGGACAAAGCGCAATTTTAACCCAGGTTTATATCTTTAAATTCAGACAATAATAATGTTGGTTTTTTTTTTCGGGCGAATCAGAATTGATTTTTAAACAAAAATGGTCAAATGGCCAAAGCTGTATTACTTTACCTGCAAACATCCTAAAGCTCGTCTTAAGAAAACAGATATGTCCTGTGTGATTATCTGCTGACAGCAGACAGATAGTCGATTGTTTCTGTTCCTAATTTCCTCGGCCATAAAAAAACAAATAAAACCTCCCATTTCAATATTATTACAGTTGACACAGACTGATATCGAATGAACCGATACGTAGTCAGAAGATCTAAAGTACTGAAGATTTTGTGTCGAACACGATTACAAACTTATAAACAAAGATTAAATAAGAAACTATACAGCAGAAAACTCAGGCTATTACCTTTGAGATACATATTAAATTTATTGATGCCGAGGAGGCACAATCTGCGCAATTTCTTTTCAATCTAAAGATGCTTGAAGACTCGAGCCTTAAGCCACAAAAGTGAACACTGGATTCGTTTGACAATCCGTCGCCGTAAAAATTAGAAGCATTTAATTAGCATTAGCCAATTGATGCTCACAATGATGTATATGGCTGAAATAATTAATTAATCGTTTTATTAAGAGGTCTCCTCGGCCCATACAAAAACAAAAAGAGACGTAAAGACGCTTGGCAGATGGAATGAGTCAGAGAGAGTTTTAAGGTACCACTTTCGCTAATAATAATCGCCCTTTTCGTGGTCGGGAAGTTCAAAACAGTGCATGATCCAAGTAGTGTGTAAACTACAACCATGATAATTTTTATCAGGCCGTAATTTACTAGTATCGAATATAACCAGATCGAACGGGATAGCTTTCTTTAGTCGGCCACAATTGCAAGACGAAATTTCTCGGCGGTACGAGACTTTTAAACGAAGAATATTCTTATAACATCTACGCGTATTGTTGAAAAGAAATATTATTGCATCCGTGACAATATTCTCGACATCGTCCTCTCAAGATATAAAACTGAAGAAACATTTGTGCCTTACAGGTACATTATTTCCCGAAGAAAAAATGATTGCGTGATAACCCTACAGTTAAAATTATGCGTGTGGTAATTGTTCAAAATGAGATAGTCCATAAGTACAGATACGACCTAGAGTTGATGATCACCAATATTTATCTGAAATATTTAGTCCTTTAAGCTATAAATATGTTCTCAGCATTTAGGACTTCTTGACGATGTAGGGTCTGGTTAAACGCAAGGCTTAAGTACTGGATATGATACACTGTTAATCCTCAACTTTTTTCTGGGAAGGCCTTAACAAAAAACCAGTTATTCCGAATCTTCTTTTGCATTATTGTGGGAAAAGTGAAGCATGCAGAAGCGGCCCTGAAATTCCTTTTAATTAGTGACTGTCCCGTCTTTGTAGTGAATAAAGTTGTCATTGCTGCCTTGGATTGACCCTACTGGTATCCCTCATTGCACAGTGACAAAATGTAACCAAAAGCTCATAGTGTTCATGCTCCTTTATTTCCAAACTATAAATGGCAAGTAAGCCACTATTGAGTGACTGTTTCTCTTCCATACCTTTTTGCTTGCTTTTTTTTATTTCAATTCATTTTTCTACCGCCATATCACACAATGAAGACTGAACCACAACAACACGGCAGAGGCAATTCCACCTTTGTCAGAACCAGAAATCAAAACCAAGATATACCTCTCAGCGCCAGTAAGATTAAGAAAAGAATCAGAGATGTCAAGCGTACTTTATCAAAGGTATGATCTCTATGTATATGACCTTTTTTTTTATTATTATTAAGAAGAGTACTTACGCTATGTGTATTTAGGGCGGAAAGCATGTTTCTGCTCAAGTTGTTACCGAGTCAAAAAGACGCTTACGTGTGTTAGAGTTTGAATTAGGAGAGAAAATCATTGATGAAGTTGAACGTGCTAATGCTACTAAATACCACAAGGTCAAACATTTTGGTAAGCAGAGCTATCATGTCTTGTTTGGTATGGGTATTAATGAATTTCATAGAACGCAAAAAGGCCGAAAGAAAAATTAAGCAAGCTAGAAATGCTTTAAGAGAAGAAAACGATGAAACCAAAAAAGCAGCTCTTCAACAAAAATTGGATGAAGCTGAATTGAAGTTATTATATGTCTCAGTAAGTTATAACATGGTCATACAAAACGAGTGATATTGACAAGAATGGTTTATTTAGCATTTCCCCAAGACACTTTCATACGTATCCCTTTTCCCTGCCGAAAATGAAAACGACAAGAAAAGTCATGCTAGAAGAGAAGCCATTTTGAAGGATATTAAAGCATCATTATTGGCCGGAGATAAAGATTTACAATTAATGAATAAGAGATATCGTAATGAATATAAACAAAAGTTGATTGAGAGAGGAGATATGCAACCAGACGCACCTGTTGATGAAGAGTCTGATCTTGTTACTGAAGAAAAGAAAATAAAGATGGAAGAAGAGAGTAGCGACGACAGTAGTGATGAAAAGGACGATTTCTTTGAAAAGGCTAAATAATTTTGAATAATAAAAAAAAAAGTGTATATAACTTGTAACTTAGTCCAACAAGTTTTCGTAAGGTGGTGGACGAGGTGGTGGTACAGTCATATCAATGACTGTAGTTGCATCATTTGATGTCCCCATGGCTAACAGGACCGTGTCTCGCTCTGTTCCATAAGCAGGTGGTGGTGATAATGTGCCTTGTGAAGGGGCCAAACCCCATTTTTTTACATTGGCTTCCACAAAAACAAATCCCATTTGACCCAAGTTAACGTGAACTTGACAAGGTCCGTTAGCTCCAATTGTGGGGAATAAATTCCATCTCAATCCAGAGTAGGCCTCTTCCAGTTTTCTTCCATTTTTAGTAAAAAATATAGTGCCTGTACGATGCTTGTATCCAACTCCAATGACATCACCATGCTTATAGGGCATGCCATAAGGTTTACTGTTGAAAGGTGTACTAAAGCATTTTGTACCGTTATTTGAAAAATACCCAATTGAGTAACGATTCCAACCTATGAGCAAACAAATTAGTAAAAGTAAAAAAACAAACAAAGGTCGAATTTTTACCTGGTAATCTCCAACTAGGAAAAGGTTTTGTGGCTACACCAACTGATACAACTGTTGATTCGGGCATATCATACATTTTAGCTTCCCAGTAATATACATCTTGATTTCTGGGTAAGGGTAAATTTGTCTGTACGCAATTCTCTCCTTCCATAAACTGAATTTCTGTTCTTCCTGCTACAAAACAATTCGCTTCTGGCTCTCCTTCAAACTCAAAAGCGGAAACTCCTTTTTCTTGAATAGATACAAACTGTGGCGGTGTAATATCCGTGGGAATACTGTTAGGTGGATGATGTTCTTGCCAGGCTATTTTGTTTTTCTTGTCAGTATCTTTTCCTTTCTTTAAGCAAAAAAGTAGTTATGCTCTTACTTTTAGCTCTTTCGTAACTAAGTCTTGCGTCTTCGGATAATCCAGCAACGTTGATTTCGGAATCTGAGGGAATATCCTCCACATCTCCATTGAAAGACAATGGAAGTTCAATGGGTGAACGAGTAAAGAAGAGTAATACTACAATAACCACAAAAAACACAATAATCCCAGTTGTGAAAATCCAAGTATAAGCAGACTGCATTTCTCTGTAATATAAATAAAAGAGAGAAATAAAAACATTTTTTTTTTTAGAAAAAGGGAATAAATATACGTCAGGTTTTCGGTTAGCCAATCAAATAAAGGTATACTGGATTCTAAACACATTATCATGCCTAAATATGCTATTTTAGTTATGCTGGTACTCAATGTTTATTTATCATATGGCATAGTCACTATATTATACCTGTATGTAGATACTACACTGTCTAGCTGTTTGCACTGGAGTGTTAAAACTTTACTTTAAAATTACTCCCGAGAAACCCCAGTCTGGCTTAATGCGTGCCACCAGTGATTTATATTTAATGAATTATTAAAGTCGATTTTAAATATTACCTTTGTTAAAGTATGACGATGTAAGGACCCCTTACTTGACGGGCTTAAATATTTTTGATAATATAGATACTCATTTAATAACAAATTATTTAAAAGAAATACTTATTGTGACATCGTTACAGTATCACTGGGGAGTTTGCTTTTTTCTATCATCCTGAGCTTAAAGCAAAAATTGATCATTTGTTTAAGGCCTCAAAGAATATCAATAATTCGATGGCTTCTTGTATCGAGGCACTGGTGGATAATCATTCTTTTATATAAATGGTAGTCTTACTGATAATTAAATCCCATTTTAGCGACAGATCATAACAACTATCTAAATCTTGCCTCCCGGTACCCTTAAAAACTATATGTAAGAATATAGCACTAATCTTTTTTTTAGTGAAGATTACACCTTTTACTTATTTTATTTTATTTCTGTGTCTTAACATAACATCAGTTGTCTTATTTAATAACTTTTTCTGGATGCTTAACAACGCCGGGTAAAAAAAATACTAGGAATAGCTTCAGTGAAGATCACATCTGATAGCGTTATATATAGTGGTTATCAAGACAGTGTTGATCGCTGGATCGGCAATAGTTTCAAGGGCCAACTTTTAATATCAGCAAATGAAATGCTGGACCCATATCACAGGCAGTGGATTTTTATATTTGCTGCGTAGATAAAGTAAAGATTCAGATTATTAATTTTGACGTAAGCTTGTTCTTGTTTATCATTTCTACGATAAACATAATTGATCCCACTAATCTCTATTATTTCATTTTATTTTAACCGTCCCTTTGCGTATAAAACCTCCGGGCGTGCGGTTTAGTGTTTCTAACCTCAAGCATGCTTCAATTCAAGCATAGTCATAGCTCTCGAATTGATTTGTTTTTACGCGTCACAATGATTAAATGGGCATTTACTTTGTGTATGAACGGGTATTTGGTCAAGAAAAATAAAGATAAAGCCAGAATCCCTTTTGTTCTGCCTGAAGAACACGGTTTTTGCTTGAAATCTAATTCGATTTAAATCAATTATAAAGAGCGGCCTTTGATATTCTTTTATCTCACTTATAAATATGAGTTAACCACTTCTAGTTTTACACTTTTGCATCGTTCAGTTCAGCCGATCTATTATTTGAAACGTGATATATAGTAGACTTGAGCTGTAAATGTGTAACTCAGAATACTTTCCATTGCTATTTTTGCTGCACTTGTCAATCAGAGATCGATAGTATGATTTATACAGCTCTACACATTATAGGATACAGACATCAAACAGAAAGCTTTATCAAACTAATTCTAATTGAAATATACCGTATATAAATCGATGTCTCTCCTTGATACCCTAAATAAATATTTATTACGCAAACAGACACTGATTTGTATTCGATATTTGCCAATCACAAAAAAAAGGCGGGATTTGAAAAGAGCCCCCTCCCCCCTCTGCCCGAACCGGACGAAATGAGCAGTGCGTATCTGCTTCAGCGAACACAGATTTTGAGTAATCCTTCCTTTTTGCATCTTTCCAGTATGGTACGTATACGACGATGAATTAGAATCCATCCATCCATCGAACGTAGCGAAAATGATGAATAGATGACAGCATAGATTTATAATTCAACAGTTTTTACGCAATTAAAATAAAATGTATTTTCAGTACCTATAAAACAATGGAACAACATGGACGACTCAGCCAATTTATCGCAACATACTATTCATCATTGACATTCGTTCTTTATTTAAGCATGTACTTATATATTACTTAATAGGCCGACGAGCAAACTACTCCCAGAAAGAGAACTTTCCGTAAGTTTACCTACCGTGGTATTGACCTTGACGCCCTTTTGGACTTGTCCTCTGAACAGGTAAGAAATAGAGATTTAAAAGGAAGAGAAATGAATAGAGCATAGGGAAGAACAGCGATATTAATGTACGACCGCTGTAGTTCATGGAGCTCGTTCACTGTCGTGCCCGTAGAAGATTCCAACGTGGTCTTAAGCGTAAGCCTATGGGTCTCATCAAGAAGCTTCGTGCTGCCAAGAAGTCTGCTGCCGCTGGTGAAAAGCCTGAGGTTGTCAAGACCCATCTCCGTAACATGATCATTGTTCCCGAGATGATTGGTTCCGTCATTGGTGTTTATAACGGTAAGGTTTTCAACCAAATCGAAATTAAGCCCGAGATGACCGGTCACTACCTTGCTGAGTTCTCCATCTCTTACAAGCCCGTCAAGCACGGTCGTCCCGGTATTGGTGCCACTCACTCTTCCAAGTTTGTTCCCCTTAAGTAAATTATTTTTTACTCTTTATCTCTTTCATATTAAAATCCACAAAAAAAAACACAACCCTTTCTGTTTTTTTTCACTTTATACTCTATGATTATGATTTGACAGGTCAAAGAATATCCGTGCATCAATTTGACATGATGATTTTTGAGTTTTAATTTACATTGGCAAAGTGCATCTTGCATTAGGAACTCTCTGCTAGAAAATAATACCAGAAATCTGTCACGTCCCAGCTGTAATTTAGTCTGGTTGCGATAGTTGCAAAGGGATTTCACTTGCGTTTAATAATAACTATAATATATCAAGTAACCTTATGCCCTCAGGAAACAGCATTGCCTTTTGTATGAAGTTGGATTTAGCTTGCGAGAGGTATACATATAACAAATTGCATCACTTGGTATACAAAACACTTTACTCTTGAGTAAACACTGATTCGTTTTTTTTCTACAATAAATTTTGTAGTTCACTTCATCTCTCACAATCGATTTGAGACGGTAAATTGAAACACTCGTTTATTTCGGAAATTCATCAATAAGAAAACTCTTTTTACATATCTCACCATTTGAGTTCCATAGGTCATAATTAAACACAGCATATATAAAAAGACAGAAAGTGTTTAAAAATGATAAATAAAAACTTGTGATAGTGCTAAGGGATCCACAGTCTGTAAAGGTATGTACAAGTCGCACGTGGATTAACACTGTTAGATGCAACAAGTGTGTTGGGTAGATTACATGAAGTAATACCCTAAAAGTATTTTATTTACAAGTGTTACTCATCTGACTATGTAGGCGTCTACAAACCATAACCAAAAATCTTATAGCAATTGGGCGACATGCTTTTAATGGGAACGAGCGTTGAAACCGCAAACAGAGCATAAGTGCTTTCAACAAAACGATTTAAATTTAATGACGCCAGAATTTGTGTCAGGGACGCAGATCTGTGCACTCTTATTTGTGTCCCCAAAATATCCTATTAAAGACACAAGTCCCCTGCGTTAGTTTGGACGACACACATCAGAAGCCGTGTCCTTGGTACTTATCACACGAAACTGGAATTGTGCAATATTGAAGATTGCTCCCTATATGTTTAGAATTTGGCTTTTAGAGCTAAGCTATTTGCAGATCATTTAGTCTTTAGAGTGCCTTGCCATAAGTTTATGTAAATAGCAATTCTGGTGCATCATTTCCAGTAGTCACTTAATATTAAGAATACCAACATTTTCTATTATAAATCATGATAGAGAGACGCTAATGATGTTGAAATTGTTTGAGTGAAGAGGAAAAAGAACTCAGTGAGCTTTTAATTATTTTTTTCCTCATGCTTAATAAAAGGTCACACTTTTCATGTGGTGGATGTAAGGACTGTCCTTTTCCTTCCAAACTCAATTCCTTAATAAAAAAAAAAATAAAAAGCTTGCCAAGTTTGACACTTTTAAAAAAAAAAACCATGTCTAAAGATCAAACCTTTGCCGCATTCGATTTCGATCCTCGTTTAGCCCGAGCCATTGCACAGTTGGACTTCACCCGTCCCACACCTGTACAAGCCCAAAGTATTCCTCTTGCACTTGCCGGTAAAGATATCCTTGCCCGTGCTCGTACAGGTAGTGGTAAAACTGCTGCCTATGCTATGCCCATTGTTCAAAAGATCTTGGTTGGAAAAGAGGTACAACTTGGTTATTTTTAAAGTTGTAAATTATATACTCAATCAAAGTTTTGTAGTCGCTTGATGCCGAATCTTCCATTAAAGCCCTGATCTTGGTTCCTACCAGAGAGTTGGCCGAACAAGTTACTAATCATGTGAACAAACTTTTGGTGTATGCCAATCAAGTAGTCAAAGTTGTCAATTTGGCTGGTCAAATGTCAGCACAATTACAAAGGTAGAGAAAAAAAAAAGTACTATCCAGAAAAATCTTGATTTAATAACACTTATGTATTAGACCTTTGCTTGCTGAAAAGCCCGATATTGTTGTTGCCACACCTAGTAAAGCACTTGTTCATTTAGAAGCCGGCAACATGGTTCTTGACAAGTCACTCGAAAACCTTGTGATTGATGAAGCAGATTTAGTTTTATCTTTTGGTTATGAAGAAGATGTTCGCAAGATTTTAAGCTATTTACCCAAGATTTATCAAAGTTTTTTGATGTCTGCTACATTTACCAAGGAAATTGAAGAATTACAAGCTCTTGTTTTAAGAAAGCCAGCTATTTTAGCCTTAGAGGACACAAAGGAAGAAACCGACTCACTTACACAATACGTGGTCAAATGTACTGAATTCGAAAAGTTCTTGTTTGCATTTGTCATTATCAAGCTCAAATTGATCAAGGGAAAGATTTTACTGTTTGTCAATGATATTGATCGTTGCTACAAGTTGAAACTCTTTTTGGAACAATTTTCTATCAAGGCCTGTGTGTTAAATTCTGAATTACCATTAAACTCTAGATATCATATTGTGGAAGAATTTAACCGTGGTATCTATGATTATTTAATTGCTACTGATGAATCCGAATTGAAGGGTGAACAAGATAGTGATGATGAAGCCGAGGACGATGATGAGGAAGTTGAGGAAAAGGAGGTCACAGAAGAGGATAAAAAGGTACAAAAGAAGGATAAAAAGGTGCAACGTGATAAAGAATACGGTGTTTCTCGTGGTGTTGATTTCCAAGGAGTTGCTGCAGTGATTAATTTTGATTTCCCTACAAGTGCCAAAGCATATACACATCGTATTGGACGTACAGCCCGTGGTGGGCAACGTGGTATGAGTTTATCATTTGTTGTGACCAAGGATTTGGTTGAAGATAAAAAAGAAGTTTCAAGAGGCAAAGGATACAGCGATGAAGCTATTTTTAAGCGAGTTTTGAAACAACAAGAAGAAAAGAACACGGAATTGAAACCTTACAGTTTCGAAAAGAAGAATGTTGCTGGATTCAAGTACAGAGTCGAAGATGCGTTAAAGGCGGTTAACAAGGTTGCCATCAAAGAAGCACGTATCAAGGAAATTAAGCGTGAAATTATGAATTCCGAAAAGTTAAAGGCACATTTTGAAGATAAACCTAAGGATTTGGATTTCTTGCGCCATGATCATGCCCTTCAACCTGCTCGTGTTCAAGAACATTTAAAGCATATTCCTTCTTATTTAATGCCTCGTATTGCCGTGCCTACTGCTATGGCTAACACAGAGCCTATTGATGTGCCATTTAAGAGCGAAAAGCGTAAGCGTGGACCCGCTAAGAAAGGAGGCAATGTAAGTGTGACAATAATAAATAAAAAAAAAACCAAGACTAAACCCTATTTTTTTTTTTTTTTTTTTTTTTTTAACAGAAACGCAAGGATCCTTTGAAGATTATCCGCCGCCGCTAGATTTTGAATAATAAAAAATAATAATAATAATAAAAAAAAAAAAAGTATGTGTAGTTTTTTTATTTACAGAAATTAAAAACAGACGAAATCATTCTGGCGAAAGGAAATCCGCAATTGGTAAACGCGTGAATTTAGTTTTCGGTTTCTCGGGCTCAACCTCTGGTGGACAAAAAGCATTTGAAATTCGTTTATAGGGAGATTCATTACGAATTGGGATTTTTATCCCTTGCTTCGAAAAACATCTAGAAAGGGCAGTTGATTCTAGAAGGAGTGAGTGCGTGTTTTTTTTGAGGGTTTTTTTTTTAGGTTTTTTTTTTTTCATTACCAGTCAAACCGGGGAACTTTATAAAAATAACATATTAGTTTTTTTTCGATGCTTTTGCTAAAATGCCTAAATTTACCTTTTTAGCTGGGTACACAGAGAAAGTAGATGAAAATGCTTCGTGTTGAATTTGAGTTGTCATGGTGATAGGTTCACTACAATGAGAGTTTGATAAGTCACTTTTCTTTTTTACATATAATCCTTCATGTACATTTATGACATTTACCCTGCTGCCAAATTGACAAATACGAATTTCAAAGTGAATGTACCTTCTGTTCTAACGGACAAGTCATGAAATATAAAATAAGTACCAGGTTGATCGGATTGATTGTATAAATGATATGCATTTGATACAGTTGAACCTATCAAGTTTCGAACATATTCTGGTTTGCCGTGTTTATGTACTCCATCTTCTAGGAATGAGGGTGTCATTGAGGACCAAGGTGTATAAACAATTGTCCGATTTTCACATCTATCTGCACCGTATAATTCACATTGGGCTAAAAACAAGATGGAGTCTTCGGGTCTTTACGCACAAACATGAGTCATGGCGACAAAATACATGGAAATAGGGACGAACTTACTTTAATTCGATACGGTTACCATGTCTATCGGTTGCAATTAATTCAAGTATTGGGGGTGGATCGATCGGTCTGCGATCTTTTTCACCAAACCCACAGCATCTTGCTCTAATGGGGTTTTGTACTACACCTAGTTTAGCAGTGTTAGCCTGTACCTTTTTCCTTTAGAAAAATCATATTTACGAATACTATATTGTATATCGAATTGGCTTGGTCTTGCAAGTTTTAGTGGTGGTGGGACAAACATTTCTTTCCAGGCTTAAAAGAGATGAAAAGTGACTGAAGAAATGAAAAAGGGGAGAGGGGAAAGAAATGAGAAAGAGAAAAAAGAAGGAAAGAAAAATGAGAACAAATAAAAAATAAAATCCTTCTCATATTTACGAATTGGTAAAAAAGCAATAGTTTTTTCTAGTCTTTATACTAATTAGGACAAAAGAGCGTAAAAGGTTACAAATATAAAAGCCACTAAACTATAAAAAGATTACTATTTTTTTCATAAAAAAGAATGTTGGACCCAAACCGAATTACCGGGATGTCTTGGAAAGTATGCGTCGTCTTCATTGGAGCTGATACTTGAATCCGATGACAGCACTGTTTCAGTGTCAGTCAGGGTCTCTTCTTCCTCTGTGGAAGTGAGAGTGGCATCAGCAGTGGCGGTAATGGCAGTGGCAGTGGCAGTCGCAGTGACGGGAGGAGACGGGGTGCCCATTCTAAATCATGTTAATTTTCTTAAAGATAGCACTTCTATTTTTTTTTTTTTTTTTTTTACCTAGTGTAAAACATAGAAAGTCTTAGTTGCACTGATTCATTATACAAGTCGGAGAGAGTGCGTGAATGATAGTAGCCTTGTCTGGTGTTTCTGACGAATAAGTAAAATTCACATACAGCAACCAGACGATCCCTACAAAATTTATCAATACAAGCCCAGTCATCCATTACGGAGATACGAAATCTATATGGAAGGACGGCCTCTGTATTTCTTCCGCATGCCTGACAGCCTGAAATAGCAGTTGCTCTTTCCCATAAAGTTGTTTTCAGGGCAGAAATCTTAAGAGGATCTGGTTGTTGAGGACATACTTGAGGACATTCTTCGATAAAGCATGCATTTAAAGAGATTGCTTCATATAATTTCTTTGTTGATAATCTTGAGCTGGGACCGAATCTGAGACATGGTTCAATATCTTCCAATAAACTATTTTTCATAAAAGGAATTGTGTGTAATTTTCGAGAAGGTCCGCAATCGACAAGTTCCTTAAATTCACTCAATAACATTGGATCGATGTCAAGTAGGCTCTCTTGTGCACCTGTCGTCGTCACCTGTTTCACTGTGGTTTCATCGCCTAATTTGTTCTTTAACTCTTTAAGTTGTTCTTCTTCTGCCTCTAATTGTATTTGACACTGCTTTAATTCCGCTTGCAAATGTTGATATTGAATTTCTAGTTCATGTTTCGCTTTCTTTTCATTGGCCACCATATGATTGGCCTCTTCAAATAGCTTTTGTGAAAGGTCTTCCAATTCGTTTTCTAATACTCGCTTTTCCTCTTTTGCTCTCTCCGTCTCCTCCTTTTCCTTCACTAGTTTGTTCTTTAAGACTGATAAATCCTCCTGAAGAGAGCTATATTTCTGATTCGTCTCATTCAGCTTTTGATTCAAATTCACAATTTTGTTTTCAACTGTATTTAGCTGGACAGTAAAAGTCTTTGCATTCTGCTTTTCTAACTCAAGCGACTCCTTGTATTTCTTGCCTTCTTGTCGTGAGCTCTTGACTTCGTGTTGAAGTTGGGAAAGAACAGGTATCACATCATCACATAATCCACAATATTTGGAATCTTTGGACACCAGAATATGATGACAAGGACAGTCGGGCTCTTTGGGTGTTACCTTGCGGTTTGGGGGTATTAAACTTGAAGAACAAGTGGGGGTAATAGGAAATGTCGTCTCTTCTATTTCAAGGCGTGGTGACTTGGGCACATTATCAATCATTGTTTGTAAATGAGAATAAAGATTGGCTATGTCTTTGGTAGTCACAGGCTTTTCATTTGAATATCTCTTTTGCTGTTCATCTACGCTTTGTTCGTTGGACATCTTATAAATATAAAGATGAAGAAAGTACATACAACAGTAGAGTGTCAGCTTACCAAAAAAAAAAAAAAAAAAAAAAAAAAACCGACCAATCAGAAACGAGCTACATTAACCGGGAAGTGTCAAGCTGAAAAAAGCATTCAATTCCATTGGCCTTGATTTTGAAAGTTGGATTCTCCTGCTCGTTAAATATAAATCTGATTGGTTGATTTAAACGACGGGTAGTGGCAGAATTGCATAAAATCTTTTCTACTTTTTACTCTTTTGAAAACGTGCTACAAAAGCGTAATTTAAATGTGTGTGATACAATTTCTTCCTTAAGGTTTTGATCATTCTTTATTTCAAAACTTTTAACATGACAAAAAAAAAAAAAAAAAAAAAAAAGAAGAATCACCGTTGGGCTATGCGGCAATTCTATGCCATATTTATTAAAAAATAAAACTATAAGTGCTTGTCCTTTTTTCTCACAACCCATGTTTGTCCTTGACGTCATTTTGCATAAAGTATATGAAGCCCCCGCCCAAAAGTACTACTGGAAAATGGAACACCATGTGCCAAAGAAACCTTCTGGAATGAAATGGTAATCAAATACAGTGAAGGAAAAGTTTGTGCACCAAGTAAGCTGTTCGATCCTTTGATTTGTTAGGAAATGTAGCTTTGCACTCTGTCGCAGAAGATAGTTCAGAAAGAGATCCTTACCAACTGCAGGGTAAATTAAGAACATAAACGTACATTTAATTACCGTAACCAAAGGTTCGGAGCAAACAAGTGTAAGATGGTAAGCTCTTACCGCTTATGGATAAATTGAAGCATGATTTTAAGCCAGATCGCGCTTGTTCTAAAATACACACACAAATCCGAAAGACTTTTTCTGTTACACACCCATTTTTCAAATTAAAAACTGGGTTTGATACACTGCGGTCATTCTGTTATTGTTGTTAGCAACTTAATGATCAAATCTCAACAAAATTACTGGTTATTAAAATTCAATTCTTTCAAGCCATCATCCTCTTATAGTTAAATGCACACTATGCTTCTTTTAAAATTGGGTGAATTCTTGCTTTATTCATCTTAAAAAACAGACGCAAGGCGTAACCAATTTTCAGTCACAAATGTGTAAAAGTAAAAGTAAATATTTCAATTGATTCTTTTCCAACAGGCACCCAAAAAGGGCAACCTTCTACTCACGATAAAGACAAGTATAAAATGTAAAACATTGGGTCCTATGTCGGAGATACTCACATCAATTGTATCTACTCAGAACTAATATGATTATTGTACATGTTAAATGAGTATTGAAATAGCACATTAATGTGAACTTCGGTTTGCCTTAATGTAGCTTTGGTGTTTAAGCAATCTTGAAAAATTCACTTAATAAATAATCCAGTTTGGCACTCATAGCTGATACTACCCTTGACTTCACCTTTGTGTTTTTGAGAGTAAAAAGTTTCATGTACCTCTTAATAGTAATATTATTTGATACAAGAGTTTACTACTAGGCTGTTAAATCAACTAAACAATCCAAGCATATGGTTGACACACGAAACACCTCTTTGATACCGTGGCTCCAAAACTGTGCATTGAAATAGTTTATTAAGTACAATGCAATGTTAGTAGGATTGAGCAACTATTACTTGGACACGTGTTATTATATCTTATTCAATGGTAAGCGTCACTTCAAGAAATACCCAAGACTCAAGAAAAGAATTGGATTGAAGCAGATATCGGCGGAATTACAAAAATGTCAAGGCCACTCATAGAAATGACAAAATTAGAGCGGTGCAGTAGCATTACTAACTCGAATTGTGATACTTCTTTCTATACTCTTTGGCTAACAGGATAGCCTCTTTTAACTGGCTTAAGCCTTTCGAACAAGCTAACACCTTTCTATAAAAATAAATCGATTATTTCTAAAATTTGTAAAACGTAAGGCCTTGAGAAAATTGTTAAAAACATTATCAAAATCACCACTTCTGTAGATAATGTACCCCAAGTTTTGATTAATAGCATCTTTCAAAGAGTGAGGCAGTATTATCTACATATATTGTCTTATGATGGTTGTATGAAAAACACGATTTTGCCGATAAACTAATAAACCGTTTTCAGTAAAGAGATCATACACAGATAAATACATAATAAAAGCTTACTAATAACAGAATTGGACCTCCAATAGTTTTTTTTAAAACTTGACAAAGTTCATAAAGATGCTTAGTGTTTATATTGGTACCATTTTTATAAAGTAATCAATGAGTCAGTCCCTCTAGAAAGCATTAGTAACTGCTGAAATCTTGCCCTTCTTTTTTTTTGACGATGTACCCCCTCTTATATAATCCAAGTATATTTCAACCGTCTTTTATAGAACCCTTTATCTTTTACTTATAAATTTAACATTTAAAAACTTTATATTTTTGTCTACAAGGAGTAAATTTTAAAAATGTGTGTAGCTAGGCTCACATTATATTTGCCTGAGATCACGCTGTAAATAACAGGGACTACACTGGTGATCACAAAATTCATTAGCCGCACTGTATGCGTGTAACAAAGAGCAACAAAAGGTTCTGGTTTTCAAACAGAGCATTTTCCCTTTATTTTTTTTTCTGTTCCGTAATGACGAAAACACAAGAATACAACCATGCGATTGGCCAACTGTTAATGTGTGGATTTCATGGTGCAAAACCTACAAAAGGCATTCTCCATCTCATTAAAAACCATAATCTAGGTGCCATCATTCTATTCTCTCGTAATATTGAGTCACCACAAGGCACACAACAATTAATACACGACTTGCAGACTGCCGCTAAAGATGCTGGTCATGAACGCCCATTGTTTATTGCAGTAGACCAAGAGAATGGCGTTGTACGTCGTTTAGGTACAAGTGGTACATATTTACCAGGTAGCATGGCTTTGGGTGCCTTGGATTCTACCAGTGCTGCTTATGAAGTAGCCACTGCTACTTCCAAAGAATTACTAACACTAGGCATTAATTGGAATCTGGCTCCCGTTATGGACGTGAACAACAATCCACTTAATCCTGTTATAGGAGTTCGTTCTTTTGGTCAGGATCCTACCTCTGTAGGCCGTCTGGGTATTGCGCAAGTAAAGGGTTACCAAAAACATGGTGTAATTACCAGTATAAAACACTTCCCTGGTCACGGCGACACAGCCACTGACTCTCATCTGAGTATCCCCATTATTGATAAAGACATGAATGACTTAGAAAAAACTGAATTGGTCCCATTTCGCAATTCTATGGAAGTACAAGGCGATGGTTATCCCACCTCTGTTATGATGGCTCATATTTCTCTCCCGAAGTTGATCAAAGATGCAAATAAACCGGCCAGTATTTCTTCTGAAATTGTCACCGATTTGCTGCGTAAAAAGCTTAATTATAAAGGTGTGATCATTACTGATTGTGTGGAGATGGATGCTATTAAGGATTCAGTTGGTTGCGCTCGTGGAGTTATTATGGCTTTACAAGCTGGTAATGATATGAGTATGATTTCTCATACATTTGAATTTCAACAAGAAACCTTTGATCTACTCGCTAAAGAGATTGATAACTTTGACCAAGAAGAATTAGATGCATCTCTACGTCGAGTGGCTATGCTAAAAGATCGTTTCTTATCATGGGAAGAAGCTCTTGACAAGAAAGACTTGAGTATGATTGGATGTAAAGATCATATAGAATTGAGTGACAGACTTTATGATAAGGTGCCTACCATTGTTCGCGACCGACAAGCTATTCTACCTATCCGACCAAAACCAAACGAAAAGATTTTATTTTTAGCAGCACATGTACCACTGACACTGGCCATTGACTCTGAGTCAGAGCCGTTTAATTCAATGTACGACTCATTACGCCTTCGGCATGGTAATACAGAGTACGTTATTTATAAAGAGGATTCACAAGATTTATCAGCTTGCATAAGCCAAGCAGATTATGTGATTATGGGAACTGCCAACGGTAATCTCTACCCGTTCCAGTCTAAACTTGTCAATATCGCCCAGTCTATTGCCAAGAAATTAATTGTCGTGGCAGTGATTAACCCTTATGATTTAATGTCCTTTCCCGGCGTCGATACTTATGTGGTAACTTTTGAGTATACACCGCCTGCCCACGAATCATTTGTTCGTATATTGTTTGGAGAAACCAACAAGAGTATGAACAAAATGCCTGTCACTATACCAAACTCACCAAGCCAACCTGATGAGTGTATTTATACCATTCAAGATTTCACATTTGATCAAATCAGTAATGTATATCAACTTTGGAACGCTATTTTTAGCAACACTTGGCCACTTTCGTTGGAAAAGTTCTCCTTGATACTGAAGAGAATGCAACATGGCCGACATTTTTGTGTTTGGGATGGAGAAAAGGTTATTGGATTTGCAGCGACCCAAACCATCAGTTTGAATAATTCGGGACAGTTGGCCTTACTGATGGTTGATTCAGCCTATCAAAACAAAGGTATTGGTACAAAATTAAACGATCATTGCCTGGATTTATTTATAAAAAATGGATCCAATATCATGCTGGGCGCTACTTATCCACGTTTTTTTTGTGGAATACCTAATGAAGAAACGCAAGGATTTTTTAAGCGGAGAGGATATTCGATTGGGGATACAGATATTTGGGATTTAATGGGAAATCTTGAAGGTTATCAGATTCCAGACGCATTACAACTACGTATGGAAAATGAGAAGATTTGGTTTGGAACAATCAAAGAAGAAGATGCAGACGAATTATTCAAGTTTCAAGAAAAATATTTTGGTTTCTGGTTATCTACATATAAACATCATGCTGAATTAGGTGATTACCATGATTTATTGGTGGCACGAGAAGAAAATGAAGGAGGAAAAATCATTGCGAGTTTAATCATGTATACAACAAGTGGTTCACATGCTAACAGAAGTGATCTCATTTGGAATCATGCCAGCTTGTTTGACCAGGACAGTGGGGGTATGGCTTGTGTAGGTGTTGCAACAGAAGCACGCGGTCGAGGTATTGGTATAGGAATTGTTGCGTATGCCAACAAGTTATTATCAGAACGCGGAGTGAAAAAGTCTTACGTTGACTGGGTCGAATTAATTGATTTTTACAGTCGTACGGGCTACCAAAGATGGAGGAAGTATAGGCTTGCAGCAATGAAATAAGTTTCTGTGTTTGTTCATGTCACACGTGTCCATATAAAATAAAAATACAAAATCCCCTGTTTCTCTTTTATCTCCCCTCCTTTTCTTCTTCTTTCCTTTATACACTCCTTTTTCACTATAATAAAAAAATGGCTCTGGCAGCCCAACAAAATGATTATTTCAACTTGGTCAATAATAAACCTGAACCAAAGGAATATCATCTCGAGAAACAACACACTCATCAAGTAATTTCACTCCTTCCAGCTTCGAATGAGAGACCTCGTTCGATCTCACAAACCCAGTCAAACTCTTTTTCTTCCATTCAAACTGTACCTGAAGAATCAGTCTTGACCGAGGATTTAATGCCTAAAAGACATTCGACCAGTTTTAATTTAGCACCAGCCTCTTCTTTTAAAAAGTCTCAAAAAAAGACTCGTAATACTTTAGCTCGTAATTATACAACAGGTGCACCAGATCAAGATGTATCTGAGGAATTCCAGAAGGAATTAACAGCAAGAAGAAAGACATTTAAGAGATTATCTAAAAGAAGACCAGATGATCAAGAAGATCGTGTTCTAATGGGTACCCTTATTTCTGAAGGCCATCAAAACTATATTTTAATGTATAATATGTTGACTGGTATTCGAATTGCCGTCGGAAGAGTCTCGGCAAAACCAGATCGTCCTATTGTCGATAGTGACTTTTCTGCTGCCCATAAACTTGCCTTTGATGTGTAAGTTAATTCCTTCTCTCCCTCCATCCCCTTGAATCTTTTGGAACTAGTTCTTAACCTCTTTTTTTATAGTACCGGTGATGAATTAACACCAGGCGCTAAATATGATTTTAAATTTAAAGATTATGCACCTTGGGTCTTTCGTGCTTTGCGTGAAAGATTTGGTATTGATCCCGCTGATTATTTGGTAAGCATCACCATTTTCAATACAAGACTTTTGGCTAACTTTTTCTTTAGATTTCACTGACGAGTAAATACATTCTATCTGAACTTGGCTCTCCCGGAAAAAGTGGCAGTTTCTTTTATTATTCAAGAGATTATCGCTTTATTATTAAAACTATTCATCATACCGAACACAAGTTTATGAGAAAGATTCTCAAGGAATATCATGATGTAAAGAGAAGAAAAAACTTTTTGCTTTATCAGTGTACATACTCACCTACATCCTTGTAGCACGTCTCCTCTAACCCAGATACCCTGCTCTGTCGCTACTATGGTCTTCATCGAGTAAAGCTTCCTCATGGTCGTAAAATTCATTTCGTTGTTATGGGAAACGTATTACCACCGAACAAGGACATTCACGAAACTTATGATCTAAAGGGCTCTACATTGGGTCGTTTCTTACCTGAGGAAGAAATCAAGAAAAATCCTTATGCTGTCATGAAAGATTTAAATTGGGAAAAGCGAGGCAACAAATTACAACTTGGTCCTCAAAAACGTAAATTATTTATTACTCAGCTCCTACGTGATGTCAAGGTAAAAATAAAAAAGGTCCTAGAAATATTCTCAGATATTTACAGAATTATATAGCTCCTCGTTAGAATGAATATTATGGATTACAGTTTAATGATCGGTGTCCATGATATTGTCCGAGGCAATAAGGACAATGTGCGTAACTCTACCTTGCAGTTCTTTCAACCTGATACCAAGCTTGCTGAGAGACGTGCTTCAATGATGAAGCGCCGAGAAAGTAAAGCCATGGTGTATCGTAAGGTGATTATGGAGGCAAACCCTGATCGATTAAATGCGTCTGAATTACCAGACACACCATTCGATGAGTAAGTTCTTTTTTTTTTTAAACAAACGAAACAAAATGACTTACATCCAATAGGCGCCGTAACTGTGCATTTTATGCAGACGATGGTGGATTTCAGGCTACGGATGAAAGAAACAGAGCAGGACCAGCTCTATACTTTTTGGGCATTATTGATATTTTAACACCTTATGACATGAAGAAAAAGTCAGAGCATTTCTTTAAATCTTTAACGCAAGATAAAAATGCAATCTCTTCTGTAAAACCCAAGGTCTATGGTAACAGATTCATGGGATTCATGTCAAATGCTTTGGAGCATAATGAAGATATACCTCATGAATATCAATTAGAATCAAATGAAAAGAAGAACCTTTAATTTATTATTATTATTTAATTTTTTTTACACTATATTTCTTAATAAATAAGATTTTCGCCTTTATGTGTGGTCGGTGTAACATATGCACCCAACCTCATTTACTATATATTTTAATATCTTTATTGTAAACCGTTTCTGACATCCGATTTACATCTCAAACTATATTATAAAAGTGCATCCGTCATTGGTTCGTATCGACTGCCTATCTTATTGTTTCCCACTAAAGCTTAATTTCATCAAGGAGTTTCAAGAATTTTTTATAGCTTCACTCACTATACATGGCAGCGATACCCCATGAGCACGGCATCATTATATGGCATAGATGCGCTATTTTTTTAACTGCATAATGATGTTACAGAAGCCATAATCCCCTCATTCATAGGGTCAGAATAGATCATCATCTTAGCAGCAGTTACTGTTTGAGGGAATATTTTTTTAAAATAAAGCTTTGGGGGATGATGAGTATATTTAGTATAATGAGAAGAGACGCAGACTTAAATATGACCCCATGTTTGCTCCTTTGTTGTGAAACAGTTGATTTCACATGGACAGCTTGTCTTTTTATTATACCTATGTAACAGTTTTTAATACTAGGTCATATTTTAACAATCCTTTAATTAAGGGCGGACTCTATTGACACCAAGAAGATAAAACAAAATATAGATAATGCAGTGAAACCATTTAAAATATATATATATATATATATATATTCTAATATCCGAGATTAAACTAATATTCTTTTCCTGAGAAGGTATTTTACAGATTAAACAAACAAATCATTTTTGTTGATGGAAAATATCTAGGAATAATAAATAAGGCAAAAAATCTTATCTTTATTGCCAAAATGGATCTTCCAGAGAGCCGTCGTGCTTTTAATCTACTGTAGTACAATCCCTAGCATACTAAACTTTGCTAACAATTTTGTCAATTCTAACTATCGGCTCATCTCCACCGGATAATGATTTATGATTTGAATTACTATGGAAAAGGCAGTCAAAAGATTCATAATTTGGGTGCCAATATTGTCGTCTATAAAAAAGACCCATACTTTGTTCGGCTTAGTATGGATCAACTAGTAGCAGATAGCTTTAGTTAGGAAACCCTGGAAACATTTGTACGGGGTGTTTGCACCAGTCTTATATTTTCGTACGCCTCTAACGCTACTTTTATTGGACTAATATTTCACAACTGCGTATCAATAAGAACTGTGATTTATTTGAGTTATCAACTAGTCTTTCTGTGGTACTTTTTGTTATCATTGCTATCATGCGTTGTAATTTTCAATTCAAGAATATTTACGACACAAATTGTGGAAACTGATACTCGTCAGGCACAATCTTCAACCGTTAACACTTCAATAGTAGCTTAAAGAGTGTATTTGTAGTTTAAATAGCAGAAACGATTACCTTGTACACTGGATTAAAGCAATGTCCAACAGGGCACACAATGAGCCCTATTTCTTGGATTGTTTGATGCTGTTGATTAAAAGCGCGACCACTTCTATTTTTTTACCAAAAACATACAGCTCTGTGATCGAAGGATCAAGCCAATCAAAAATTCCGCTTCGGTTACCTATCAATTAGTGGGCCGCCTTATCAATGACTTTGTCTTATCTTTATCTTTTTATTTTTTTTATTTTTTTCTTTATATATAGTTGTTTTTTTTTTCTTTTCTTTTCACATTATTCTTTTACACAATAAAAACAACAAATATTACTTGATTTGGATTAGACATCTCATAGGAAATTTTGACACTTATATAAATTGTAACATTTAATTCTTCTATTTCTCTTTTTCTTTACTTTACTTTCTACTTTTTCTTGTTCAATAATATTTAATAATGCCTGATAACTCAACAATGGACGGGCTATCATCACCGGAAGCAGCATATAAAATAGACAGTGGTGATACTGCTTGGGTCATGATTTGTGCTTGTCTTGTATTTTTAATGGTAAATACAACGCCTTCTTTTGCCATTTTAAATAACCATCTCATCTCCTTATGCGTCCTTTTTTCTTTCTTTCTCCTTAATAGTCACCCGCACTTGGATTTTTTTATGCTGGTCTTGCTCGTGCAAAAAATGCACTTTCCTTAATGTACTTAACTGTTCTTTCGGTCGCTGTAGTATCATTCCAGGTAAAACGGATATGTTCTTTGTACAAATCATGTACTTATCATTTCTATAGTGGTACCTTATAGGTTATTCTTTGACTTTCTCCGAAACTGGAACTAGTTTTATTGGTGATTCAAGTAAATACCTCTTTAATACTTTGCATAGCAATATCCTAAATTTATCTATTTTGATAGCTCACTTTTTGTTAAGAGGTGTCGGAATGAAACCAATACCTGGCCAAACCATCCCCGCTTCCGCTTTTATGATTTTCCAAAACATGTTTGCTGCCCTAACACCAGGTAAGGAATATTTAATTTAAAATTTCTAAAAAAAATAAATGTCTCATGCCCATTTGATGTTTAGCTCTTGCGTTTGGATCGGCAGCTGAACGTATGTCGGTATGTTTCCACCCCTTATTTTTACAAATCTCCCATCACAAGGCTAACTTGAGTTATTTTAGCTTGGTCCGGCGATCATCTTTATCTTTGTATGGACAACTTTAGTTTACGGTAAACTTTAACTTTTCTTTTATGAAACTTAACTTGTTACTCACTGATTTCACAGACGTCATCACATGTTGGCTTTGGAATTCAAATGGTTGGCTTTATAAGCTTGGCTGTATCGATTATGCTGGGTATGGTGATTCGAGCTATTTTTTCGCTCCTCTTTTTTTACTAACAAATTCATTTTATAGCGGTATACCTGTACATATTTCAAGTGGGTTAGCAGCAGGTAAAAGAAAAAAAAAAGACAATAAGACAAAATATATATTTAGTTAAACTAATACCCATTCATAGTTGCTTATGCCATGGTGCTTGGAAAACGTCGTGATTATAATGAAAATGTAAATACTCCTCACAATGTATCATTTGTCTTTCTCGGTTTAGCTCTCATGTGGTTCGGTAAGACATACAAATAATTATGGGTTTTTTTTCATATTGATATTTATTGTTTTACCTAATTTAGGTTGGTTCGCATTTAATGCCGGTAGCGCATTAGCCGCCAATGCTCGTAGTGTCAACTCACTTGTCTGCACTCATCTTTCCGCGTGTACTGCTGCTGTGGTTTGGGTTCTTTTAGACTATCGTCAAACGCGTAAATGGAGTATAATCGGCCTTTGTACTGGTGCAGTCGCCGGTCTTGCTACCATTACTCCTGGCTCCGGATTTGTATCACCTTCAAGCTCACTTGCATTTGGTGCTATTGGTGCCCTTATTTGTTATGTAGCAATTCACTATAAGCACAAAATGAGAATTGACGATTGCCTCGATGTATTTGGTGGTAAATATTTACAATCACACAAAGAAACTTTATTTTTAACTCGGATTGTCTTTTTTAGTTCATTACGTTGGTGGACTTGTAGGCCTGATTTTGACAGGTATCTTTGCTCAACAAGATATTATTGCTCTTGGTTATCCCGAAGGTACATCTTATGATATCATTCCAAAAGGTGGTTGGTTAGATGGCAACTGGATGCTCGTACCTTACCAGCTTGCAGGAATTGCTGCTGTTTCTGCTTGGTCCTTTGTAGTCACGTATGTTACGAAGCATAAAATCATGCAAAAAAAAACACTAAAAATAACCTTATTTCTTTTGCATATAATAGTTACATCATCTTACTTGTCATCAATATGATCCCATCACTCTATTTACGTTTAGCTGATGAAGATGAGATTATTGGTACTGATTGGGCTGAAATGGGTGAACGTGCTTATGCCTACCTTCCCTTTGACGAAGAAATCAACTCACGTAGCAGCAATGAAGATAATTCAAACGTGGTGATAGATGCCCGTTCTCAATCCAGTCGAAATAAGAGTCCTCGTCTAAGCAAACTCAAAAAGCTATTGATGGTCGACCGAACAACTGTCATTAAGGGAGTTCCTGATTTAATTGAGAAGCCAGTACTCGATTATGGTCAACAAAAAGATTTAGGTGCATACCCATTAAACTCATTTGCTAAACCGACTGGCGGAGATCTTTTACAGAAGGCGCCTACCAAAGTCCAAGAAGAACATCGGGAACATGAACCTGTTGAATTCAATCACCATCCCATGTCTTATAATGACAGTAACAAAACTGTTCATGTAGAAAATGTTGCCTCTATGCCATCAGGTTCAAGCACAGGAAGTTCAGAAAAATAATTTTCCGGTATCCTTAACTCATCATTCCAACCTCTCACTTGTATATTCCCTCGTACCATTTTTCTTACTCATATATCATTTTTATTTTATTTTTTATTTACTTTCTATTTGCTAAACAAAAAGCCCCAATCTTCCAAGTCATCTTTTTTTGTGATGATTTCAAATTCTAATAGTAAATAAACATTGAAATTTCTAAAACCAGGAATGTTGTTGTCACATACTTATTCAAACATTTTTGTCTTTTTGTTACTGCCAACGTCAAATAAAAATTTTTTTTTAAGGAAAATAAGATAAAAATTAGAGTGATCAATAATAATTTTCATACAGCATGTATTCACGAAAAAAAAAAAAAAAAAAAAGTAAAATAGAGGAAAAAAAAAAAAAAAAAAAAAAAAAAAAAAAAAAGAGTTACTTTATATACAAATGTGGATCAAATGCCAAAATTCAGACATAATCTCAACTCAAATGCTTCTATCCAAGGTTATTATATTTGAACAGTCGAGTGTAAAATCACACGCGTTACTCATTCTCCTTGTTATTAATATTTTTAATCATTTAATACTTTTTTCTTCTTCCTCTTTCCTACATTCCTTTTCTCGTCCCTTTTCTATACCATGTCGGATCAAACCTACCAATCTAGTATTGATTGGAAGGCATCTTCTGATCAACTGGCTAGACCCACAAAAATAAAAACCGCGTACCCGGTTTCTACTATCACATATACAGATTATATAACATCTACTATAAACGGACTTCAACCTACTTCAAACGCATACGAAGCAACAAGTTACGCAGAGGATTTATGGGAGCATCGAATCCATCGCTTTTTACCTGTGATACTTGCCTTTGCCATCATTGGTATTCTGACGGTATTAGGTAGCCTCGTATACTTAGCCTATCGTTTCTACCAAGCCAACCGTTCATCTCGACTACGACGACGCCGCCGTCGAGATGCCGAAGAAACACTGAACTTTGAAGATGAAAATAACAAAAAAGCAGGTAGTCCAATTAGCACCACTCTGTCAAATATCATACCATGGCTTGCTATACCTTCTCCTCAACATCCCACTGAACCATGTGCGAGCCATCAACAGCAGCAGCAACAGCAACGCGAGCCTATTCGTTATGAAAAGTCAGACCTGAATCGCATCATGCTAGCAGATAGTCGCACAGCACGACGTCCATCTGCTGCTCCATCTTGGTTAACAAAGATTTTGCCAAACAAATTTAGGTCCACACCCAGACATATGTCTTTACCCATTTTGAACAATCGTCCTACAATTGATAATTTAAATGTTCCTATCTCATCCACATTTAAACCGATTGATAAATCCTTTCTCACGTTAGTACCTAGGTCCGAGATATGGCTGGATCCTAACCGTAGAAGAGGCGTGGATGAGCTGGATATATGGGAACGAAAGAAGAGTGGGACAATTGTGGTCCCTGAAGAGGTATTACCTGCACCGCTAATGTGGAGATTCCCGTCAGCTTCAGCGTATCCAGATTCACCAGATTCGGTTGATAGAGGGTTTGCCGCAGGTGGGTCAAATAGAAGATCTATTCATATCGAAAGTAGGCGTTCTTCTACGACAATGCAGGAAACTCTACATAAAAATACTGCAAGTTGTGGTAAATCTGAGGTAAGTTAGTGGGCATGCCATTGAACAACGAATAAAAGTTTACTTAATTTTTTTTTCGTGAAGTCAACGCGATATGAAGAGGAGTTCGATAATCCTACAGTATCCCCTGAGTCTATAAGTTATCCAAATGCACTTAGTTATCATCAAGAAGAAGAGGAGGAGCAGGAAGACGATAATTTCTCAAGATTTGCAATCACAGTGAAGCTACCAAAATCACAAATACAAAAGGAAGCAGAATCTAGTACGAGCGATGTGAGACTGGCAAGACAAGTGCTCGAAACAAGTCGCATAAAGAACAGTAGTAGCCAATGGCTTCACTTTTCTGGCAGCAAAAGCTTTTAACAAAAACAAAAAAAATTAGAAACTGAACCCCTCTTTAACTTTCTCCAGTTTTATCGCCTCCCTCTTATTTTTGTATTTTAATACTATATATTTACTCCAAATCTATTATCCTGTAACAATAATATAACACTAGATTAAAAAAAAAAAAAAAAAAAAAAAAAAAGAAAAAGCCCAGCAAACGTTATTGAAGAAATGTGTGAATGTGTATGTATTTTTTGTTTTTGTTTTTTTTTTTTTTAAAAAAAAAAAGGGGGAATGGGGGTTAAAAATGATATACAAATATGTTTTAATGCAAATGGAAGGCGTATCTTGTCATGGTATCCAATCTTTCAGAAGAGAAGTATAAGGTCAACAGAATGAACTGATTGGCCATCTCGGCGTCATCTTTACACATTCGGTCAAATGATTCGCGTGTCAATTTCCAATAAACAGAATCTTGTTCTGCGAGTAATGATCGTGTACGGATACGACTACCGATAAACATACCCATTTCTCCAACCACTGTGCCTGGCAATATTGTTTCCACTGTCACCTGTTCCTTCAAGACGTGCATTAGGCTGCGTAATGATCCTTGCTCGAGCACAAGAAGATATTCACATGGATCTCCTTCACGATAAATTGTATGGTCTTTGTCACATGTAGTTCTTTCAAAGTATTTGCTTAACTTATGGAAAAATTCGATTTGGACATTGCCTTGGCCAATCTCACCAAATGCTTGGACAAGGATAAGTGTAGGCTGAGTAGTGTTACTGTGAACAATAGGCGAGTGGGCTTCTATAATAATAAATAAGGTTAAATTAAATAGGTAACATCAAGTAAAAATTCATCATTTACCACTAAATACATGATGAATTGCATTTGTCACCATATGATGACGAGGAGACCCGGCAGATGCTAATCTATCCGAGAAGGAATATGGTTTATTTGTTATAGGTACACTGGCAGCAGGAGTCCCGGATAAAACTAGATGAAAAAAAAAAAGGTGACATGTTAGATGATAAGATAAATTCCGATAATGATAAAGATTTTACCTTGCAGATGGTTCGGTTTCTTTTCGAAAAAGGTAGTTAATAAAACATTTTCACACCATTCGAGAGCATCATTGATATATTCAAAGCATTTGAGATCGCCTTCATCGTGTTGCTGAGCATGATCAACCCAAATACCTGCCTTCATCAAGGCTTTTTCCTCATCTGATTTGCGCGCAACATTACACACAATCATGTAGACCTGACGAGCACGCAATAAGCGACGAATACGAACAAAGGCCTCGGCGGCACTGAAATCCAAACCCTGTACAAGCTGGAGATCAAGGATCAAGAATCGGATCGGGTGTTTATCCCATTCATGTTCGTCCAACATTTCACGAATCGCACGCTCCACCTGGTCAATGGTTCCAAAAAAGAGGTAACCCTGTAGTTTTACAACCTGAATTTGTCCGCCTACTTCTTTTAAGAATTTTTCTTGACGATATAATCTTCGGACAGTAGATCTCATATATTGACCAGTATAGGTGGCCCTGATAGCTTCACTTCGGCGTGCATTTTGGACAACGAAAAAAACGCAAGCCATGATAATACCAACTAAGATACCTTCAACAAAGCCCAATGCAGCCATACAAGCAATAATGGCACATATCGTAATGTATTCGAGATAATGCACAGAGTTCCAAGTATCGACAAGGGCCTCTTTAAGCAAGTCCAAACCGAGATGGAAAATTAAACTACCAACGACCATGACGGGAATATATCCAACAATCCACGGGCCAACCATCCAAAGAATGGCCGTTGCACCTGCCAACATCAAACCTGCTACTCTGCTATCTCCACCCGAACGAATAAAAAGCAAGGAGTTTGTATATACAAGATAATCTTATCATGGGAAAATTTAAAAAGATTAGACTCTTATCACACTTCTTAAAAAAAAAAGATTCATGTGAAACTTACTTTGAACAGAACCAAATAAACCTGAAACGGCATTTGAAATACCATGAGCAACTAATTCTCTATTTACATCGACATCGTCTTTATTTGTAGAGACACCCAAGGCAGGTACGTTGATTGGGACATGCAAAACACCTGATTGAAACGGTTAGAATAATAAGGGTGCAAAATAGTGTTTGTGAACAACTTACCAAAAAAGGTTAATGCCAGCATAGCAGGGATAGTCTCAGCAACTGCTTTCCAATCCACCAATTTGAAATTGTAATAGGTATAGAAATGCCAAAAAGGTGTATTGTTTTCAACTAACGGGAAAATCCATCCTGCATCTCTTACTGCCTGCACGTCCAAACCGAATATAAACACAAAGATATAAAAGGCAATTGGTAACACCATAAAAAATACAGGTACCACCATTGGAGATGCAATACGGTGTTGAATTATTCTCAGCAAAATTGCGACAGCCAATGCGGAGGACCATAATGAAAGCACATGAAAATCCATAAAGACCTTTCTGAACATTGGAATGGTGTACTCAATACTACTTTCTAGTCTCCCTGAAACTTCAATACCTGTTGCAACCAAGAACCAACCGACACCACCAATTGTACCGACCAAGATGTGACGAGGAAAGAAACCAATCAATGAACCCAATTTCAATGCACCCAGCAAAAAAAACGCCAGACCTGTCATGATACTACTGAGTGCAAAGGCAACCAATGTTGAGGGTATAACTACGGTGGGATTATCTTGTCCAGCAACTGACACAATTTTCTCGGCTCTAATGACATACATTGTTTAATTTACCTGAAACTTGAAAAGAGATAGAAAATAGAAAAAGATAAGGAAGAAAAAAAAAAGGGTTTCAAACTTACATGATGTGTAAAAATGGAACAACTGTATCCAGTATTAATAACTTGTATACGAAATAAAACTAAACACTGCTATTATTATTATTTACCTTCAATCATCATACTGAAATGTAAAATTTTATCATTTAGTTTCACATCATGGCTGATATAATATACACTCTTTAGCTTACCTTCCATTTCCTCCCTTAAATGCACTTCCGCCACATGAATACACAATCTGAGAAATGATACAACTATGACAATATTATTAGCAAATATTTACTTATTCTGAATTTGAATTTACCTGACAAAGAACATGGATATGCCTTCGGGACCAAACGAAGCAAATATAGGATTGTTTAGAGGAAAAGTGATCATACCGTAAGAGATAGCATCCAATAGATTGAGCAGTAGACCTAGGATGACTGCAGGTATATAACCAATTGGCTGTGTGAAACATGTAATCCAGCTTTGTGGATCTGAAAGTTTATTTTTGATCTGACAAAACTCTTTAGGACCTTTTCGCTGGTTATCCAAAGGATGTGTAGGTTCTTGATCACTACCTAATTCTGGATCTGTTAATGTTGCTGAACTGTTATTGGTTGTGGAATTATAATCTTTAGATTTGTGTCTCTTGATTAAAGGCTCCCTTTCGCGGCTGTCTTTCTTCAACAGATGTGACAAGATGGAATGTGTCGTGCTAGGTGACACGGGGGTTACCGGACTTACAAGGTAATCATTATCGCCGCTTTGTCTTCTACTTTGACTAGGTGAGTTAGCAGGACTTGATTCAGCCATATATCTATCACCCAACGCCAAAGAATGAGCACGGATAGATTCTATAGATGCGGAATAAAGTCTATCTCCTGTACATGATCATATGAGTATTATGCAATGTCATTCTATAAGAGGCAACACTTACCAGGCTCAATGTTGATATGAGAGGAATAATATGACCGTGAAGGGATTTCTTCTTCCATCATTCTCGGAAGTGACCCAACAATATCTCTCGGCGAGGAAGATTCTTCCATATGAATTGTTGAATTCGGCAGATCCATTTCTTTTTTAAAATATAAAAAAATTAAAAAAATGGCCTAAATAACCGAAAGTGGATAAGAAGAAAGAAAGAAGAAAAAAAAACCGGTGTATTTTTTGAAAAAAACAGTTGTCCTTTATACACTCCGTCATATATTTAGGAGTTTAAAACCTTGCAAGAAAGCCAGGACGGGGAGGGTTACAATCGTTTCACTCATAGTTCTGAAGTATGGAAAGTGATCGTGTCAAAGCTTTTGTTGTATTAAAAAATAAGCCTGAATCAGAGAAAGCCCTAGTTATTCTAAAGCGACTTGCTTCCCAAGTAAAACCCATACTCAATAATCGTAACTGGACTATCAAAAATTTATGTGAATTTTTTCCAACAAACGAAAACCTTTTAGGTATAATCTTGAACGATCGATCTATATAAAAGAAACAACTTTCTAATATATTTCTTAGGTGTTAATGTAAACCGAGGTTGGAAAGTAAATCTTAGATTGAGGCCGCATTACGATGACAAGCTGTTTTTAGAGTATGAAGAAATCTTAGGAACCCTACTGCATGAGTACTGTTATTTTATAAGCTTCCTGTGATTCTTGTATTACTTACGGCATTATAGAATGGCACACATTGTCAGAGGACCTCACGATCAACAGTTTTATAAGGTTTTGGAAGAATTGAAAGCTGAAACTGAAATATTGATGGCTTCAGGCTATAGTGGCGAAGGGTTTTATTCAAATGGTCATAGCTTAGGTTCACGGTCTGTGCCTAAATACCTGAGTAAACAGGCTGCTGCTACCGCTGCGGAGAAAAGGCTTCAAACATCTAGAACTATGTTACCTCCTGGTGGTATAAGATTAGGCGGAGGGTCATCGTTGTTGAAAAATATGACACCCGCTCAGTTAGCTGCAAATGCCGCAGAAAAAAGATTACATGATCAGGTTTGGTGTGGAGGGAGTGATACAAATGAAGGCTCTTCTTCCTCTTCAGCGTCATCGCCTGATAGTCCTTTGAAACGAAAAACAACTCCTCTAAGCAACAAGATGAATAAAATGTCTGGTAACACAGAAACCAGAACAAAGAAAGCCCGTGTAACAATTGATCTAACCGAGGACGAAGATGTGATTTCATTGACAACTGACTCGTGCGATGATGGCTGGTCTTGTCCTACTTGCACTTTTCTGAACAACCCCCTATTATTAGCTTGTGAAGTCTGTAGATGCGAACGACCTATCAAAGATCTTGCTATTCCTGCACATTGTTGGAAATGTCCTCAATGTACATTAATGAACGAAAAAAAATGGTTATCCTGTGTAGCATGTACATTTGTAAAATTGCAATAGTAAAAGAAATTCTTTATTCAACATGAATTATTTTAAAGAAACATTTGTACAGTCATTGGTTTTCTTACTGCATTTGAAAACCCCTCGTGGTATCGGTAGTTAACATTGGCTTTAGGTGTATCAACTTTTTTTTTTTTTTTTTAAAAAAAAAAACCTTTTTAGGATATCTTGCTCATTTTATAGCACATGAACGTTATCTTACCTTCCATTTTAGCATTTCTTATCGGTCTGTCGGTCTCTGATCTGACTCTGGGTACAAACGCGCGTCCGAAGAAATCAAGGGGTGTCTGTTTTTGTTTCATCTCCCTTTGTAGGATTTTATTACGTATGGATCTAGCAGATTGATTGTTAGAATATATATCAGTAATATAAAAATAAATACTTGGTGACACCTACTCATCGCTGATTTCTCGTGATGGCTTTTCTTTAGTCTGTCCATTACGTGATTGCGAGGCCTCTTCTCTTCTCCTAAAAATTTCAGTATCGATCTATGATATCATATCTAAGTAAGATGTCATTTTATCCACGCTTATAAATATAAAGTTTACTTCTGATGCAATCATTTGTCTAACTGCGTATTGCCTTGGCAAAATGGCTTTGGGCGTAGACAACTCAAAGTTTAAAAGCTGTTCCACAGGCCTAATACAAGGTTTAAGCTTCCGGTTGACTATCTTCATAAATGTTACTTACGGCTCAAGCTTATAGACATATTGACCGTCCTCTGTTCTTTCTTGCTTAAATGACAAACCAAACTCAATCATAGAATCAACTAGCCTTGTAAGTTTTGCCTTCTCCAAAGGCTTAATAAGTTGCTTGTTTGTCTAAAAAATAAAGATTGATTTAGTGTCACATAACCTTTGTACGTTCAAAAGTTGCTTACGATTTTTAAATCGGGTGAAATAATTTGCATCAATAAAGGCACTAACTCATTAGCAACCATATCTCTGTTCAAATACCTTCTCTTGGAGGAATGGATGCCTGATAAAAAGATGGCAATTAAGTTTTCGTAGGATTTCTTGGTAGTGAATACTTCATATTGTATTTTTGGGTATTGAACGACATGGTCTTGAGAAGACGATCCTGCAAATAGACGATGAAAACTGACGATTGGATAAGTAAGATATTTAAACAATCCGTATTCAAAGTTAGAGTGAATTCTTTGATCGATGGTATCATAAAATTCAAGCCATTCACTTATTTGGCAGAACTTTTGAAGTGCAACATCATGGAATTTCATATGAGGGAAGGACTCGAAACAACCTTGCATAATTCGATCGATTTCACCATTACCCTGGACAGTCTTTGTTAATCTATCCAAAAACCTATTGTTGTCTAATGCATTTTGAGTTTAGAGTCTTTTTTATGATCAATATGAAGAATACATTACCAAAATCTGCCTTATTGACGGATGTCTTAAAGCGTGCATTTGGTGCCGAAAAGATATCTTCCCAAACCGAAAAGATCGACTTGCCCATGTCTTTAGATCCAGCTCCTGAAGAAGCCAGCATGTCTCTTGTAAATGTTGAACTTTTTCCTTTTATATACTATTATACATATATATATATATATATACATATAGTAAGTTTCTTGTGCAATTCACGTCGGGATCCTTTCTTTACCTGTAATGTATTCATACAGCTACGGATATCGCCATCCGTGGTTTCAGCCAGCATACTCAAGGTTCTCAAGTCGCTGTCAAGACCTTCCAAATCACAAATGTCTTGCAATCTTTTTGCGATGGACATCATGGGAACCTTCCTAAATACAATGGATTCTGCTACCATGCGAAGTGGCCGAAGTACAGGCGAATACCTAATTTGTGATATATTAGTAACTTTTAGTTAGATTCGTATTTTAGTTTTATGTCCTTACGCGTCGTTGCAGATACAAATGATGGGTCTTAATAAAGGTTTACTCTTTGATTTTCCTATTGATAATTTAGTTTTATGATATAAGTACAGGTTTACCTATACTGACCCTTCTTCTTCACATCTACTTCGGCGTTTGCCAAATCAATCAACTGCTTGATAAAACTCTGTTGTACAAATTAGTTTTTGATTAAAGTCCAAATGAATAATATCTTACATCCGCACCACCACTTGCACTTGCACCATCGATTTCGTCAATAATAACCAAATTAGGTTTTTGGGTCATTGACATTGAATTATCGCCAGCATTTACTCTAATGATGGCTTGCATTTCTAGGGCGGCTTTGATTTTACTGCCTACTGCTGTTCCTGTACGATCATCACTGGCATTGATTTCGATGACGTTATATCCTGCTTGGTTGGCAATTACATGAGCTAGGGTAGTTTTACCAAAACCTGGAGGGCCTGACATTAACAAAATCTAGGTACATGTCAATCAAAAAAGTCTAGTCTTACCATCTTTTCCCTTACCTTTTTTTCTGGACGAAGAAGAGGGTCTTTGTTCTAAAAAGTAATGAGTACAAGACAGTTCATCTGTTCATAATTCATAAATTACCGTAACCATATTCTTATATGCAGCAAATTTGGGTTCTGTCCCAAATTTACTTTTATACTGTCTCATCACTTTATCACGCTGAGTTTCCTGGGCAGACTTTCTTTTAAATACACAGTAATCCCACTGCTTGACCCATTTCAACACTTCACGGTTTATACGTTGATCACCCATTAAATCCATATAACAAGTAGGTCTGTATTTATCGACCCAGAGCTTATTGGATACATCTTTTACTATCCTCTGTTTTTTAAGTTTTCTCCCATCTTCTTCATCCTGTTCTCTAAATAAATGTGGATCAATATCATCTGCTTTTTCTTTTATAAGTGCTTGACTTACTTTTGTAACTGCCGGGCTTTTTTTTCGTTATTCTTTTCGATATTTTTCAACAGCTGCCAAATGGGTTTTTCTAACAAACCCCTTGAGCCACCTTTTGAAGTTGTCAAATTCTTGACCAATAAATTCGTTTTCTTCTTGGATTCACCCTCTGTTGTCTTTGAGAAATAGATATTTTTTCCAGTGGTGGGACAGGTTGCAGTAATGAACGCACCAGTTTCAGGAATTAATGTATAATTTAAACCATTTTTGGACGAATCTTTTGTTCCTAAAGAGCGGCTGTATTTACTTATTTCGTCTCTCGTACCGCTTATGTCAATCGTATCCTCGTCCTCCATTTCGTGATCAGAAATATCCATATAATCCATAGCTGAAACAATAGTATTCTGGGCAGGGTTGGGTCGATCAAAGATACTGGTATGTTTGGCAGTCGTGAAAAGATCTTCGGGTTCGTCATCGTAAATAGGAAAATCGTAATCATCTAAAACGTTTGAAAAAACAGGCAAGCTAGAAGAGACTACATTGATCAGTCAGTAAACTAAGAACAAGTAATTAAACCCCTTTATGTATATAATTACTGTATTTTGTGCTTGGCTTATTCGTCATAAAATCCTCGAATCCGATATCTTCATTCTCTTTATCATTTTCTAATGCTGCTGCAATCATGTAATCTTCGTCTTCTTCATCGTCAAAGAAATTGGGAGGGCGTTCTCTTTTCGACATTTTAAAGAATTATTTTTTTAAAATAAAAAAAACAAGGAACGGGAAAAAACACGTTAAACCTAAACGCGACCGATTTATTTATTCGAGAGCGGGGCGCGAAGTGTAAACTCAATGTTGAGCTGTCCAGCTGCTGACTCCAGAAATAGAGTGAACGTCAATGGTTTTCTACTTTGCAAACTTTCATTTTTGGGGGGTAATGATATCTTCATTATGATACATCTCGGAATCTCATGATTTTTCATATCTTATGCAGGCATATTTTGTAGTATTTTTACTCCAAGAAGATTTTGTATTTTTATAAGTACACTTTATTCATGACTTCCGTTTGTTATTAAAAATAAGACAGTCTTAACCGACTTGCTGATTAGTTTAAGTCGAGATAAAATCTGCTGTCCAACTTTCACCTGTTTTTTCTTGGAAACAAAGTTATAGCCTTCTTTCTCTCCTTGGTTGTTATTGTATTTGCTTGGATGAAGCGGTTCCGTATTTCAATGAACGATTAATGACTTGATCGTATTATATTATAAAGGGCTGGATTTATTAAAGTTTATAATATAAATGGTAATCATTAGTTATTCAGGTTGCAAAAATCCATGTAGCAGTTATTTTCAGGACATTTGTGTACTCGAGGACTTGTTTATACATGCGTCATTCCGAATGATGACAGTTAAACAGGTGGGTCTTCGATCAGATATCCAAAAAACTCTTATATGCTTATACAGCAAGAGCAATGTGTTTGGTCCTGTGTTTTCATAGAATCTAAGCAGGAAAGCTATAATAGCTACTTGGAAGCGACAACCCGTATATAATAGAACCAAAAAATTATAACAAAATAGTATTGTTTATTTTAAATGAAGATTATGAATAATATGCATTGATACATAGTATACAGTTAACTTAGAATCACTACTTGGCTAGTACCAGTTAACAAGATAGAGCGAATAACCAGTAAAAAAATGTGATTCCCATTCATCGGCGGGCCACTTATCCACAGAGGTGACCAATCTTGGAGCAAGGATCAATGACAACATCAACATGACTATTTCCCTCAGGAAGAGCAGCACAATAGACGGAAGCGAGACAAGCTAATACCAAAACAATAGTTCCCTTGAGCATTTTAATTTAAATTTAAATAAGATAATAGTGATAAAATGAAAAAAAAATATGTCCTTTATATAAGAAATGAGGCCAACGGAGCATTGGATACCCGAGCTTGATTATTGGTGCTCTTCAAATAATATAGTTAATATAGTGCTTCGGTTAAATGATCTGTTGATTTCACTTTTTTAAGAAAAATATTCCTTACTTGGCATTCATTTAACTATCTAGCCTTGTGATTTATGTGTCTAGTATTGTTTCAAAATTTTTTAATAACATGGTAACGTTGTGCACGATTTCAAGTGAGCATCACTGTCAGTCATCTGCTCAATGGTAAACTCTATCACCGGTAACTTAGTTGATTTAAACGTTTATAAAATAAAGCAATTTCTTTCAACTTTTTTGTAACAGTACAAATATTAATCTTATTCTTGTGTACATGGTTTCGTTCGATAGATTATACAATGATATGTCATCGTGCTACTTACTACAAACGGAACTTGTAAAGCCTTTCATTGACATAAGACTAGATTTCATATAATTAGTAATGCTCGCGTAATAGTCACACGAATATTTACATGAATGGTACTCCCTAGTACGGAATAACAATATTCGATCATCTGAATGTTAAAATTATTAGCTTAAAACTGAATACGAAAGATACTGCAAAAAATCTGGTGGAGGTGTAAAGTTGTTGTTCTTATACCATGGGTTATATATATTTTGGTTTGCATGGTTTAGAATACGTCAATATACTAAATCATGATGCAGTTCCTATGTACAGCTTGTAGGTTAAATATTATGCCGTTAGGGTTAGCGTAAATGTGGTGCTCCATTTTCATACAACGTATTCCTTAATAGGACATGAGTCATTATTTACGATATCAATTAGGCGGCCTATTTTTAATATTATCTTTGCCTAAATGGCTATTATCAGACAAAAATACAAGTGACGTATGAATATACAACGGATAAATGTACGCATCCGATATTGCATACCAAAATGTCAAAATTGAATTTAAAAAAATAGTTAAAAACAGGCAATGACTTTGATAGAACCTCTTAAAATGTAATCAATGAGTTATTAACTTTCTTTATTAAACATATTACATTTTTTATTTTGACAAATAATCTTTTGAATAGAACTTTCGTCGCTTTTGAACCCCAAGTTTTAGCGACGATAGAGCATCTAATATAAACTGCGGATGTATCACAATAAGCAGGCGAATGCTATACAATTTACTTATTTGACATATCAAACGCTTTTTTTATACAATTTGACAGTTTGAAATTAAGGTCTATAAAACCAGTTTTGCTCTTGTTCGCTAAAATCTATCGCTAGTCCTAAAATTCGATACATTTAATCAGGCAATACATGACAAACCTGATGTTCTTGGCTCCATTACCTGTATGTTAAAATTAATTTAACATTATAAAACTATCGCCTCAGAAAGCTATAATTAAAACTGTTAAAGTAAAGCTAGAGGATATAAATACACAGATTTTCCTCTTTAATCCCTATTTGTAGTAGTAATAGAAATCTCCACTTATTCCGGTAGCATGGAACAGTAGTAAAGCTATTTACTAAAATTAATCGAAAACTCCAGAAAGGCATATAGACGCCAAAAACAAATGGCAATATGACTAGCCTGATTGTTGTATTATTGTTGTATGATGATAATATTTTGTAATTAATCATTTGAAATTTAGAACAAAGAGTACGACGATTAAAAATTATAAGTTTATCAAGTCCTTACAATTTTGTCATGCAAATGAAAGGTTTGCAGGATTCTATTAATATGATGACACCGGTTGCCAGGGAAAGTGTAGGATCAAGTTATAAAGTAAGGAATCATTGACACCAATGGTTAGAAAAAATAGGGTGCTGAGAAAAATCTGTCCATATCAACGACAGTAAAGCAACAGGTTATTACTTAGCTTTAGCTATAGATATGTATTCTTGCTTCCAAGTCTAAAGGGTAGCCAAATTACAAATCTTACGTTGTGACTACGTACACTTTGGCTGTTCCTAAGAAAAACGTTAGAATGTCTATCACCATATATTGAAGGACACCGATAAGCGCCCTATTGCATGCGTACGTTGTCGTATTTGACGCCCAAATAAATCGAACACAATTACAATTAATCTGTCTTGAGTTAAAAAATACTTCAGATATTATAACTGACACAGTACCAATTCCCATAATCTTCTACAGCTACCACTGAAAAGTTTTGCGGTCACAATTGTTTCCAGTTCAAAACGAAAGTGTAAAAACTGAGCGCCATTTCTTTTTTTTTTAACTTTTCTGAAGGATGAAACCATTTGGAGTAGAATTAGTCATTGGCGCACTGTCCATTGGCCTCAATTATGGAGCTACTTTTAAGTTAACAACTACATCTCTTTTGAAGGATCCTATACCAACATTGTCCACAGCCGTACCTGCATTATTTTTGGGTCATATTATGCTAATTGTGTTGTCCAACGTCTTGAGAGGAACTCCAAACAAAGCCTTGGTAAGGTGGCAACATGGGTTATGTGTTACTGAGTTTTTCTCTTACCAGCTTACTTTTTTCAGAAATCAGTAGGCTATAGTATTTTAGCTACTTTACTTTCAACCGGTGTTTTACACGTATTGACAGTTTTGTTCGGTGCACCTTTAATAGAGTACGTGTTATTTATGTGAGTGGTGGCGCGACTTACTAAAGCAGGCACTTTTTAGAAAAATTCCAAACACATTCTTGTTCTCCTCGTATTTATCAATTCTGACTATTATGCCCTGTTTCGAAGCACTTGAAGAGAATACATGGATTAAAGTATTTTTGCAGCACAGGTACAAGAGAGAATTGAAATGTGCGTATATACATGCTCACAATATTATATATGTATATATTAGCCCCACAACTACTTCAGAAATATTTGCTTATACACAAGCTGTTTGCGCACTTTCTGGTGCATGGATTGGAGCAATTGTTTTACCTTTAGACTGGGATAGAGATTGGCAAGCATGGCCAATTTCTTGTGTTATCTCGACTTATGTTGGGCATGCTGTGGGCGTCATGGCAGCTTTGGTGTGGTCATCAGTGAAAGCATTATTTGGTAAAAAGAAGAGCGAATAGAATATGATTTTTTAATAACTATTATATATATAAAAAAAAAAAAAATTAAAAAAAAGTGAAGGAGAGCGGCTACATGTACAATTTGAAGTTGAAAAAAAATATTATAATGAAAGGGAGAGTGTGTATACATTTATGAGGGAGGACTTTCATCCTTTGGATAGATGGAAGATGTTGGCATGGTCATGTTTTTGTCTTTAAATATGGCACCAAGTGCATTAATCCAAGTCTTTCGTTTATCCATCGCAAACACTGCATTTTCCGAAAGTACGGTTTTAGGTCCTGCACTCTTACGCTTCTTAGATTTTTGTAAACGCTATATGCAAATGATAAGTCACTTTGTTTTTAATATAGTATACTATGCTTACAAATCGCTTCATGTATCCTTGTTCTACTTGGCTATCCAGTGTGTCCAGTACTTGACGATATTGCTCGAATTGTAATTGAGTATCTACCACTTCTAATAGCTTCTTTTTGCGATAATCGTTTATTTTAACCTGTTCTTTTAATTCACGCCCCATTGTCCTTAATTCTGCACAAATCTCATCATCCTCTTTTGCATTCCAATCAATCTAAGATACCATGTTATTGAGCGCATTTTGATCCAGCATGTTAGACTTACATCGTCATCAGCAAATAGGCCAGCGTATCTTAATTCCCTTCTCAACCTTTCCTCAAAGCTAACTATTTCATCCGAAGGATCAGATGACAATTCGACAATTGTTCTCCCATGGTGTTTTAGTTGTTTTGTGTTTGCATCAGTTTCTGATTCCTCATCGTCACTTTGATTTTTACTGGCTTCCGATGGATCTAACAGATCTTCAGCTACCAAACTTGAGAGAAGCCTCTCTGTTAAACAGCCCGACCCAATATCATCTTGAAGTAAATTCTCGTCCGTCATTTCATGTTGAAGATATTTTAATTTGTGATGATTTTGATCAACCGAATTTTGCCTGGAAGGAGTCCTGGTATGCATTCCGAAGCCAAGAGCCTGATCCTCTTCGGCCCATTGTTCAGCGTAATAATGTCCCAAAGGAGGTATTAAATAAGGCTTACTGTTATCGGCCTTTTCCAGCAAATAGGCTCTGTCTTCCTCCGTCAAATTACGAAAATAGGGTTCTAATGCAGCCCAAAATGTGGCAATAGGAACTTGATCTTTAGGTTTCACACGGACAAAATCGACCTCTTCTTTAGGCTGTTGTTGATGGTTCTTTTGTTTTGAGTGTTGTTTGCCTTGCTTGGACGATTCTCCACCAAGAGGATGTTGCGCCCGCGCATTGCTTGATTTTTTCTTCTTTGTTTCACTGCTGACTTGTTGCATGGGTGGTGGAGACATACTTTGCGATAATCTAGGCAATCCTTCCATCTTTTTCAATTTCACAACATGATGTGGTGATTCACTTCCTCGAACTATTGATAAAGAACGTATTAGAATGGCTTAAAATTGCTGAAGGCCTAACGATCGTTTACCATCGCCAGAATTTTCTGTTTCGTCTCGCCTTCTTCTTCTTCGAATGGTTTCAAGAGCCCTGTTTTCAATATAATTATGGTGAATGTCAATTATATATAGAAATAACAAAACACCTTACGCTTGTCTACTTGATTCACTTTTTGGTATATTAGAAGAAGAGTGCAATTCATCTGTGTCTTTTAGGATAGGAAAATATATGTAAAAAAGGTGTTTTGAGTTTGTCAACTAGATAACTTACCTGACTCTTGTTTGATTTTCATTTTTTCCAAGATGACATTCATGTTCTTACCCGCAGTTTGCTCTAAAGGAGACATGAATAAAAAAATTACATACGGTTTCCACAGATTTTGTTACCATTATCGCGAATTTTAACATTTCTGTCTAATTGACTCAAATCTTTTTTTAGATCTTTTACTCTGGCTTCAGTTAAAGGCAATAAAGCCTCCAAGTCTTGTTTAATATTTAAAAGATCCTGTAAATCGGGAATGTGTGAAGGTTGCGAATGATTATTGTTGCTTCCGTTTAAAGAATTGTTGTCATGAGTTGCATTATGAATAGTTGGATTGTTTATGTCTAGTTTATAATGTTCAATTATTGAACTAATGGAGCGAGAAACCGGCGTTGGCAGGTTATACTGACGCGTTAAATCAGGATTCATATTACAAGAAAAGGAGCTATTGTCTGCAATTTAACCACCAACGTCGAAGCATAAAAAAGTAGAAAGAGTAAAAAGAATAAATTAAAAATTAAAACTGATTTTTATACTAAATTTTTTTATATGTACAAGTATATTGGTTAGTCGGTGAGTGTGTAGTAACAAGCGTATAATGTATGAACTTATTACAGTCTTTACTACACTGTATACACCTATTGCCAATATGCTGTAGCAAAAAATAAAAATAAAGTGTCGCACTTTTAAAGACGCATTTTATTTCATTCATTGCTTTCTTAAATGAACTGTAGATAAAACCTTGCTGCAAGTGACTTGGTAATTATTCTTTAAGCTAAACTGACGCCTTCAAATCATGCTAAGTCCAGCGATGCTCGTTCTTGTTAGAGGCTGCTTTTGCACATTTCTTGGGCCCATTGACATTTCTGGCTTATTTAGAAGCAGTCACATTTTTTTATAATTTTTTATGCCAAATTTACACAAATGAATTCTTTAAGTTTTCATGTCTTGCGAGTTTCAATATAGAAGCCGTTTGCATAAAATAAAGATACAGATAATAATATACACCTTTATTCGTATGTAAAAGAACTCCTTTTAGCTCCAAATTAAATTAACCCATATCCATGATGCTCTAAAATTGGAACCTGATCTTGTGAATTAAACAGCTTAAAAATAGATGTGGGGAAACTGGAAAATTTCATCGGAAACGAAGTGGCAAGGAACACAAGCACAGAATCAAATTAAAGGGTATCTTAAATACTAACTTAGAATTGTAAATATAATTGAATTTACTAAAAGTTAGTGAAATTATTAGCTTCACCATTTAATCCAATTGATCATATCTTTGAATGTATGGATATATTTAATTAATTACTCGCTTTTATGTAGTTGTATACCAATATAATCAGGACGGAAATCATTAAAAAGATATAATATTTGCCCACGTGTTCTTAGCATTGTAGGGCGAAATTGAACAATTTGTTATCGACATATTTACCCGCACTAAGGATCCATTGATTGCTGTGATCAAGGTATAAGAATAATACAACAAAACCATTTGCGTCATCATATTCTTCTGCTTGTGTACTAGATTCTTCGTTTGTAATAATACAACATACACAAACAGCGACTAACAGAAAATGCATCTTACAAACAATATTGGATATCTTATAAGTCTACTTCGAAAGCTCGTCTCGGCCATATTATTTTTACAAATGGTTGTACGCGCTACACAAGCGGTTGTCAATTGATGGCTAGCATCAGCGGGAAGTTTCTCTGCGTAAACCCTACTCTACTACAAAGTTCGAATTGTGTCCCGGACTGCCAACATATTGTTGCGAATTAGAATACTGTTTGTTATTTTTCGTTCTCTTACTAGCTGGAAAAGATGATATCGATAATTTTTTTTGGAAGACGCGGTTTATATATCAATTCTGTATCTTTCAAAGCATAGTATTTTTTAAGCCTCTTATCTTTTTGAATTCTGATCACGCTACAATTAAATCTTTTTACTGTTAATTTTGCCTCTTTCTGCGTGATGGTTATGAGGTCTTAGATTTATTAGTTCACTCAGAACGGATAATAGGTCTTTTATACTACTAAATATCAGTAATTCTAAACCTTTATTACTACTGTTATGAGAAAATATAAATAGCGTATCCATTGACTGATTATTAGTTACCAATTTCATATGTAACCAGAGAATTCGACAGTGGAAAAACACAAGTCACGTAATCCCAAAAGAATAAGGGAAAAAAAAATTAAACAACGGCTTTTTTTTTTTTTTCTTCTTACTATATTATTTCTCTCTCAATGGTTGCCCTTACAAAGAATAATTCCAAGGCTAATGTTGCTGGTGTAGTTGATACAATTAACAAGCGTGTTTCTGGTAAGTTTGAATAGTCTAATTGTTCTCATTACGAGCAAGATCTATTGCACGTTTTTTTATTTTTACGATCTTGATCCAGATCCTAACTTGGTACACTTTAGGTAAAAACTGGAAGGTACAAAAAAATGCTACTGTTCGTACCCAGATGCCCAAGTCTCTTCGTAAGAATTGGGAACAACGTACAAAGGAACGTGCCAGCCAAGCCTCTTCCAAGGCTCTCGAGAAATCATTAAAGGCCGAGAAGCAAGCTGTCAAGGATGTAAGAGCACACAAACAATTTTAACAAAGTAATGGTTACTCATTTTTATTTTTTAGGCCAAGAAAGCAGTTAGCTTAGAACGCAAGAAGTTGAGAGAAGAGCAAGAGAGAATGGAAGCTTTGGCAGCAAAGATGTCCGCTAAGCGTCTTGAAAGATTGAAGAGAAGAGAGGCTAGAAAGAAGGCCAGAGTTTAATACCATTTTTTAGAAACACATATACGCACATACTCTACTCACACTTACACACACACACACACACACACAATTGTATAATAAATAAATTACATATTATCTAAATGAACGAACTTGACAAAAGAGAGAAAAGAATACTAAATGCAGGAGAGAAAAAGAAGGTCTTTTTTATATGCATTGCATATTATTTTCATGTTTCACGAATGTCAGTTTTGTTGTTGTTGTCATGCATCTAATGATATTCTTTATACACATTAAAACAAGAACGATGGACGACGATTGTGTATTCATTGGCGTCATCAATTTTTGCGATTATTTAAACTTACTTTTTCTTTTTCTATTTTTCTCCTTTTATAAACTTTTTTTTTTGTTATTTTTTATTCTTATTAGTGCTTTTTTTTCCATTTTATTTCTAAACAAACAAATAAGAAAAGATATTACAAAGCCTTTTACTACCTTTTTTTTTTTTTTTTTTTTTTCTTATTATTTTTAACCCAACACTCTCCTTTTCATTAAAAACAAAACTTTCCTTTCAGAAAAACAATGGCACAAGAGAACATGAACTTTATTGAATATAACATGAATGATTACGTGGCACCAAATCAATTTGATAATTTAAAGGGCCACAGTACATTTATTTATCAAGGTAAATTTAAACAAATCTAGTAGACAAAGCCAAATATTTATTATAATTCTAGATCATGTTAATTTAGGTTATATTCCTTTGCCCCAGTCACCAGCCGATGGTTTCCAACACCAGCAACCACAAAAGCAACAGCAACAGCAACAGCAACAGCAACAGCAACAGCAACAGCAACAGCAACAGCAACAGCAACAGCAACAGCAACAGCAACAGCAACAGCAACAGCAACAGCAACAGCAACAGCAACAACAACAACAACAGCAACAGCAACAGCAACAACAACAGCAACAGCAGCAACAACAACAGCAACAGAAGCAACAACAACAGGACGATACGAAATCGAATACCGATAATGCATCGTCTTGTTGTACTTCGCCTTGTTCAATTCTATCTACTCCAACCAGTAACATCCAGTTTCCTAACACTCCGTCCCCTTCTCCTTATCAACACGCGTCAGAAAACATGAATTCCACGCGAGATAATTCTTTTTATCCTGACTTCCTTCAGTACGAAGAAGAACCTTTTATTATGACCACTAATAATAAAAGAAAACGATTTGGAGAAGAATCAGATATATCATTTTTAGAAAACGATGCTAATGACGATGTAGTGATATCAAAGGAGAAGTCAACTACCAACAACAACGGAAAATTGATCAATTCTGAACTAAGAAGGCAGATTCATATTCAATCTGAACAAAAAAGACGAGCACAAATCAAGGACGGTTTTGAAGATCTGAGAAACGAATTGCCTAGTTGTCTAAACAAGAAAATGAGCAAAGTAGCTCTTTTGCACAGAAGTAAGAAACAAACAAACCATTTTACTAGCTTCACAAATATTCATTGTGCTTTCTTTTCTTTTTAGCTGTTCAACATATTCAGCACTTGAAGAATACACAAATGACTATTTATGCGGAACTCGAACGATTAATTACTGAAAATGAGCAACTTAGAAAGTAAGGTTACTGATTCAACATGTATGTATGTTTTTGATCATTTATGTTTTTTTTTTTTTTTTAGGTTCCAAGAAAATGTAGTCCAGAAGCAATCATTGGAAAAGATCTATTCTTCTCTATAAGCCTTGTAAATCCCTTCCGATCCTTATTCTCCATATAATCACACACAAACACACAAACACACTTAAGCTTGTATATGCCCTTTCCCTTCTTTTTTTTTTCCGACTGTATGTGTTTCTTTTTTTTTTTTTTTTTTTTTTTTTTATTACATAAAATTTATTACATGTTTATTTTTTTTTTATTATTTATTATTAAAAAAAAAAAGGATCAAATAGAAAACTATTCATAAACACCACCCAAAACGTCGGTTTGAGCCAGTGCCAACAACATAGGATCATCAAAGTACTTATTTATACTGACATCTTCAGAAAGACCCTTTCTTCTTCTTGTCTTTACCATGAAGTCTCTCGCCAAATGTTGAGCAGGACTTGCTTCTAAAGGACGGAGTACGATACTAGTATCTAACGGATCTCCAGGGACAATCTGCCAGTGATCAAAGATCTGTTGACAGAATGCTTGTCCTTCTGTATGTGTACGAAGATCAGTTTCAAAACCACAAGAATCAATCACAGGAATATACGCTTTTACGGTATACAATGGTGATCCAGGTTTGGGAATATCTTGAGTAACGTGACCTCTAATGATGATTTTTAATAAAAATTCTTGTATAATTACTATTTCATTATTACCTTCGTCGCTGCAAAACTGCATAAACTGCAGAAACACAATCTGCCGGTGCTTGAATCTCAACATAGTATACAGGTTCCATTAAACGAGGAGTAGCCTATAAACAAAAATTAGTACATGTGGCGTCTCATTAAAATTCCACCTACAGTCAAGAAAGAAGAATAGCAAACACGACGTGCAGTGGGAATGATTTGTCCGCCACCTCTATAAATTGGCTCATTTGCTAATACAGCATCTAAAATTTTAAATTTAACATTACGAATAGCTACACAAAAATAAAGGGGTAAAAGTTAGGACTATATATAAATCTATACATGATTTAAAAAAACATATATATATATTACGTTCATCACAGAGAGGGCCTTCTCTAGTTCCCCATTGGAAACCTTGACGGATTGAGTCCTTGACAGAGAATAATAATTTTTTATCTACTTCAGAAGGTAAAGTATCATCCATTAAGAGATTTGGTCCCATATCATCTGGCCCGAATGCCCATACGGATCTTGAAGCAAGTACATCCCAGCCATGTTTACTTTCTAAACGTTGACCAAGTTTGCTCTTGGGCCAACGAATACTGATATCTCCATTTTCGATTTCATCTGCAAGTGCTTTCTCAAGGGGTTCGGCAATAAATGTCAACTTATTCCTATTTATAGATGTGATGTTAAGTTTTCTCTCTCCCTTTCCTCTTTTTCTTGTAGTCTTACTTTTTATTTGGTGTCTCGGCAAAGCATTTTAATGCAGATGTTTCTACAACTGTCTCACAGAATCGCACAACAGGGTCAGACACTTTGAGTTCAATCTCTGCATACATGCGACGAAGATCATGTAACACACAATCCAAGTATAATTCACCAGTACCTAAAACAATGTGTTCACCTGATTCTTCCACCTTTGTAGTAACAATAGGATAGCTCTTATTGATCTTACGAAGACCATCCAACATCTTTGGTAATTCAGAAGGATTGACTGGTTCAATAGCTACCTTCAAAGTGGCAGCTGTGGGGAAACGAAGTGGTTTAAAAATATATGCATCTTCTCTTGGTTTTTGATCAACGATAGTAGCTGTCTTCATGATGGAACCTTCTACACCACCTAATAATACCCAACCACCAGCTGGGACACCTTCTACTTCAACACGATATCTAGACTCGTAAATCCAAGTATGTTCGACTTTCTGCATCGTCATATCTTCCTCATCATCAACAGAATATCCTTCGCCCAGGACACGTACAACTTGTCCAACCTTGATACTGCCACTAAACACTCTGCCAAATGCTTGAAATTCTGTGCTTTGTTCGTTATTATAAAGTTTGGTGATCTGAATCATTAAAGGACCGTCTGCATCACATTTGATCATGGATTGCACAACGTTTGAAGAGAGAGGACCGGTATAAAAGCGTTCAATTTTATGGGCTGCATTTTCGACAGGAGAGGGGATGTGTTTTGCAACCATGTCAACAAACGAGCCAGCAAGACCAAAGAATTGAGTCAATACCATATGAAGTAAAGGCTTCACATTTAAACCGTAATCCTTATTCTTTAAATATATTCCCAAAGAGCGTAATGTTTTTTTTAAATCTTCAGTTTCTTCTCCAATAACTTGAGCATAAATCTTGTAAAGAGGTTCCAATATGAAATGAACAAATGTACGTTTACTTACACCGCCTTGTGATTTACGGTGGAAGGATCCCTTTTCGGGGTTAAAGTATACATCGCCCCAAAGACGTTTAGCAAAATCTTGTTCATCAAAATCGGCTTCATATGAATCTGCATAAAGTTTGGAAAAGGATTTCAGCGAAAAGATCCAACCTGTTTGACTGGACGCAAAACAGACGTTGCCTAATTCAGGTGAAAGACGGATATTTTCTCCTCCAGGCACAGAACTACATATGGATAAATATACATATTTGTATATAGTTAATTAATATCAACAAGACCGATTCATGATGTAAAATGTCACAAGTGTTTACCGAATCACCGTGTTGACTTCTTCAATAGTGTGACGCAATTTGTAATAAGCATCGGCGGGTGGTAACTTTAATTCCAGAATTAACCGATCTACTTTATTTACAACTAACGTCATGGTGAGGCCTTCGCGTACACAATGCTTAATCACTTGTTCTGTATTAACCATAACACCTTCAACAACATCGACAACAATAACAACACCATCTGCTAAACGGGTTGCAGCAACAACCTCGTCAATAAAATTTGTGTGGCCTAAATACAATGATGAATATCCAAACACGTCAAACGTACCATTGTTTCTTACCGGGTGTATCTAAAATATTGAGCAAATATGATTTCTCTTTGATGTCCTGCATAACAAGAGTTACTGGCATACTCTTAATAGAAACACCGCGCTCTCTTTCTAAAATATGAGTATCTGTATAACGTTCAGGCTGATCGACATTGATAGGAATATCGTGAGTTTCAGAAATAAGCATATCTACAAAGGATGTTTTTCCGTGATGAAGATGACCCACTACTGCAATATTTCTTATAAGGTCTGGGTGGTTCATTAAATCTACCATATACCTAAACACATAAATTTATTAGTACGCGACTCTATTCTTATATTTTTTTATATTCCTTATTTGCTCACTCTTTGCTATAATGAGTCTCTGGTAAATCTTTTTCAGTCACATTGAATTTTCTAACTTGGATGGGAGCAACGATAGGTTCGCTTAAAGGTTGTGTATCTTCCTCTTGGACCATAGTTTCAACTTCTTCGCCATATACTTCTTCGGCGGAAGGATAATACTTCTTTTCTTCGTGCAAGACAATTTGATTAGCAGGAATATCTATTTCGTATATCTTTTAGCTTCATCATCACATCAGGTTCATGCACTCTTGGTTTTACCGTCAATTTGCATTAAAGCTTGTTCGTCTTGTTGCTGGACGTGTTCTTCCTCTTCCTCTTCCTCTTCAAAGGTGTTGTCCTCTTCCTCCTCCATCTCTAAATCTTCATCTTCAAGATCAGGGCCGAGGTAGTTACCAAATTCGTCATAAAGTGAATCGTCCATGATTGATTCAATTGTAATCGCGTCAAGTCTTTAATGATCTGTCGAAAGAACAAAAAAAAAGGAAGCGTATAACAGGAAGATTTTTTTGGGCACTTTTTTTTTTATTCAAGCTACCACGTCATTGTGACTGCCTCGATAAACAGAAAGGACACCACCGCGGATTTTTTAGTCGATTACAAGTAAATTTTTGTATCCTCATGATCTGATTGGCTGAAAAATAAAAAAATAGAAAATAATAAAAAAGCTAAAAATACAATGGTCGTGTGCAACTAGAATGCTCATAAATAGGTGTGTTTGTTGCACGAAATCCCTGTCTTTGAAATATTTAGATGTTCTTTATTTAAGCTGTGTCAGGAGCATAGTTGTGTTAAATTTATATGGGTTGATAATCTTGTTTCCATTGACATCTTTGTTGAACATATCAAGAGCACCCTTTGGAATAAGTTTATCTGCCTCAATTTCGATAAACCCATCAGTTGTGCAGCTAATAGGCTGTCCGGTTCTACCAGTAACATCAGGTTGAAATCGCTGCAAAGTAACCAATTTACCATTGTTTTTGGTGATCTCACCTACAAATACTGATGTGTTGTTATCTATGCAGACAGAAAACAAACCACAAACACCCACTGAAAAGGTATTTACCCCCGAGTAGTTGTTATCGGCAAACTCACGGGAGCTACCAAACATTTCCAAGAAAAAGTCATCACCTGCCATATCAATATAATTTTTGAGCTTCGAGCCGTACCGGACCCTCTTTATATCTTTGCTCACCCAAGACCCTCCATCGACAATATGTCTAAGTAGCTCTTGCTTACCAAATTTCAGCGCAAGGCTTTTGGACGTATCTTTTCTGTTTGTGTGGAATAGATGTTCACGTAAAAATTTGTTGAATTGCTCACCTTTTTCTGTTTCATAGTGTAAAGCGCACCCAAAATTGATCAGATCATCACGAAGATGATGCAAGAGGTGCATCTTAGGTTTACATGAATATGGCGTGGGGTTTGAGATTGCAAGATCAAAGGCATGGATTCTCTTCGTTAACTCATGTATGACTTCATGCACATCATTCACATACTTACTAAACCCCATGTGCACACGACGGACAAAAACTAATGAGCACAGCTCACCCAACTTGCTTAGAGGCTTGTTAAGTTCGATGATTTCAGCATCACGAACTGGATCGACAAATAATTGCGAAATGATCAATGGCAGAATTTGAAGCAATTGTTTATAATCTCGGCCAAGAAACGATCCACAATGTTTGAGCTGTCTTGAGAAATTACGGCTGTAATTTTTGCAGGATTCATAGCGTTTCACTGCAGTTATCAAGATCGCCATGGCCGATTTGTTCTTTGAAAGTGTCACCTTTATCAAATGGTTCACGAGATACTTACCAACACCAAGCAAAATTGTGTGAAGAATTTCCACTGGTGTATCTTCTGCAGGATTATAGCTGGCCAATTCTAGTAATCTTTCACTCCCACCAAGATTTCGATAGCTCAAAAGCTTTGCTGCAACAGGGAATTCTACAGCATTGGTGATGACTGCATTTGGATCCAAAGCGAGAACATAGTCGCCTTTGGTTCTATTATTGTATTTGGCGAGTAACTGTTCAGGAGTCACTGCGTAAATTTCGTTTTTGCGCTTTTTAATGTTACGGAAGTAACATTTTCTACACGGAAAAACTGTTGTCATCCCAAGTATGCCGCAGATGTCTGAATGGGCTGGGTTATCGGCCATAATGAACATTAATGGCGCTGTTACTAGAATCATTTCATTTTCTTCTGCTGAATACATTAGTACACCCTTCTCAAGTATCTTTAAGTCATCAACAATGAAAGGAATGATACTTAAGGCATTAATTCCATCTGTCTTGGGCGCCGTCCAAATGAAGCAAGTGTTTTCCCTTTTCGATCTGTCTTCAAAAGGCAATCCAGCAAAGTTCATAGACCAACTTTCGTACGGATTGTGCTGCTTTGACATATTTCCTGAATAGTCATCAGAAAATAAAGTAATTGGCGTTACCTTGACTTTATAATACTGATTCTGAACAACGTTTCCATTGCTGTCACACTTGTTACGTTTCAAAGGAGATTTGCTAAGAACTAAAGATTCATGCAAATAATCCAGTCCTTGACCATCACAATCCAAAGAAAAGCATTTGCTACCGCATACATTGGATTCGTAATGTCCTCCTAATTGGACCAAGGGAATCTCCATGGTAATTGTTGAAATCCCAAAGCAATCGTCTTGCTTAAAAACACGGTAGCCTGCAGCGAGTCGAATTTGATTCTTTGTATGAAACGACTTGATCAAGAAAAGGTCTTTACTTCTCAAGTAGACAAAGTCTCCAACCCAGTAATCTTTTCCCATTTCAGTTACCATAGGGTGTTGGAATGAAGGGTTTTCTTTCCACTTTTTACCTTGATGAAGATCAAGCGATTGATCAGGTGTATGATCGGGAAGCTTGGTAATTTTACTGGCCTTCGTTGGGTTCGATGTTGCTAGTCTGATATGCTCAGAAGGCAGATTCAAGAAGACTTTTCTTTCGACCATTTCATCTTTATTTTGGAGCTTATTAAAGGCTTTGACAGTGGTAGTTTTTGTATCCGTTTTAAAAACAGGGATATTATTGCCTTTGCGAGATTGATAATTCCAAAGATTGTCCAGAGCCGGAAGTTCGAAACTTCTGTTCTCTTCTACAGCATTATCTTTTAATTTGAGCAACAAGTTCATGGTGTAAAGCATTTTCTTTAATTGTCTTCTGGATAACTGGTCGTCGTCTCCATTTACAAGAGCTTGCAAAACAAAATTTTGGGTAGTGTTGAAAGGATAGTTTGATTCAACGAAGTTGTTCCATTCAACACCAGAGGAGGCCTCCCAAATGGGTACCATACCATTAAATGTATTAATATCGTTGGTTGCATCTTCGGTATTAGCTTCGTTCTGAACTGCACTAAATCTTCCAACAAAAAATTCGGTAGCAGTGCCGTTGAGTGTGCTTTCATTGACTTGCTCTCTTTCTGACTCTGATTCATCATCAGAATCATTATCATCGATTTCACTAGAAGTTTCAATATCTTCCTCGTTATACTGATCCTCAATACTGTTCAATAACAGATCTTCGGATACTTGAATGTTTTCATCTGATAAATCAACAATTGATTCGGGGTCGTTATCTTCAGAAATCGAAATGTTACTGGGAGTTATAGGAGTGACTTTTGCTGACAGTGCTTTTTGGTGACCAGCAGTACGACAGTGACGCTTGATGTTCTGTGAAACTATTGTTTTTTGGCATTCAGCACAATAAATTGTTTGGCGAGCCTTTTCAGTTTTTTTGATTCCACGGAATTTATGTTCGAACATCTTGAATTAAGAAAAAGGAACAGCTTCTCTTTTTGGCCTTTGACCTTTCAAATACTCTTAATGGTGACTGTTTTTGGCATAAAGGTAAAAATTTTTTATTAAGTTTTCTTCAATAACCTTCATTCGTTTTTTGTTTTTTTTACATTGATTGAACTTATTACGAGGTATTTAGAGCAACTACTGCTACAGAATATATAGATTAACATTTTCATAGCTTCCGATCAATATTATAAGAATGTCAGGAGAATAGTAAGACAATACATGTCCATTTATAAAGTCCAATGTCGTTTCACCCGTATAGACCATAACCTGCGATTAACTGGTAAATATGAATAACTTATCTAAGTAATGTGTTTTCTTATTGTTATTTTACACTATAGAGAATCACGTTCGTGTTCGGCCCATGACCAAATGATTTATAAGGTATTTTATGACATGTAATCGCGCAAAAAGAAAATTTTCTAATAGAAATTTGATTACTGTAGACAAGCAAGATAACATAACCATCGTAGAGGTATGTAGGATAATATAATCGTTTGTCATGATCGCTAATCTCTCCTATTTGTTTTATAGAACATTCAATTTGGCCCTATACGTTACCGTCTGGATTATGTAATCCAATTCCAGTGTTTTTCTTAGTGGGATGTAAGCTGTACTGATTGGTTCTGCAACCGTCTGTCTGCCTGGTCAAAGCTTGTATAGTTTTTATTTGCCAATCAATGTACCTGTCATTATATATGGTCTCTGAATCTATCAAATGGCACAATTGGTGTCTGGCTGCCCAACTGGTTAGGATAGTCCCCGTTTGCCTAGTATACGAGCTGGTAGCATCCTGGAGAACCCGGCTACCAACCGATACTGCCATACGAGCTGGTAGCACCCTGGGAACCCGGCTACCTACCAATACTAGCACTGAAATTCTAGTATTTTATTTTTAAAAATATAATTTATTTAAAAATAAACCGTTACACTATAATTCTTTATAAGGCAATTTTTTCATCCTCCCTTACACAAACGTTCAAATTAAGAAATTTTACTCATCACTGAAAAAATCTGCGGTGGTGGACGCTTTGGCTGAATTTTAATATGACATTGACAAGTAATCAAGATGTTTGACTGGCATGATGCCTGTCTTGAAGAGTCTAGAGGTACTCATTCATGTAAATACTTTAACAAGCTTCATTTTTATTTTCTAGTCTTATTTCGCTTATATATTTGATGTTAGAAAGCTATCGTACGTCCGAAGCTCGAAGAGAAAGGGATCATAAATAATGTGTTCGAATAAGTGATCTTAACACATACGATTACACCATTAAAATCTAAAAATTCACGCTCTTATTGAGATTTTTATAGCTTTAGTTGTAGATATATTATGTGAGGAAAAACCACATTGATCTTTCCATATATAATTTTCTAATTGCTCCTGTTACTGCATTATCAATGCAAATATGGGAAAGTCGATCGTGCTGTTTATACAGTATACGCAGAGACGATAAAATTAGCAGCAAAAGAGACGATATAACTTGGGATAAATTTAGTGGAAGCAGTAACTATTTTAGCTTTAAAACATACCAGCGACCAATGAAGACAAAGCGTTCGGATCACTAAATTCGGATATATATCTTCTTCCCAGAAGGCTCAACCAAAGGTCAACAAGATACCTGTCTTTTAAGTAAAGGCCCAAGCATCACGG